ATGTCAAATCATTTATATTGAAGCTAATAATTACTTCGGTATTATTTTGTAGTACTTAGAACACATATTAAGTATTCACGTTTAATGAGTCTTGAATCTTTAAGCCATATTTAGAAACATATAACAATTACACACCTCTTTTGAATAACAATAGTAATTAATGATAATAGTAGACATAAAATTATAAATAAATATGTATAATTCTTATATATATTTATTCTGTTGTATTAACCTATTTTTTATACCTTACTCACGATTTTATACCTATGATTACCTAATGACTAACGAATACTTGGTTATATAATTTCTATTTCAATCGACTCATTCCACTGTGGATTGAAATTTCGACAGCTGAGTCTAAGGAACCCTTAGTGAGCTCAAACTAAACTCGTAAGTACAAAAAAAGTACACGTTAGTCAGGAGTTAACTTTTAGTTGCCTCATAAGTCCTAAGATAATGTACAGTACTTTATATACTCGTCATTATTTTTGTGCAGCCAAGCTGTGAATTGCATGAGAATGAATGAAAAAAAAACTATGTACAATAATGTGCATATATTATGTATTTAGATGACGCGAGTTACGCCAACGACAATGCGCTAATATCTTAATATTACCCCATACAGGGAAACTCCGTTGGGTACCTAACTACCTAATTGAAATTCTATTATGATACTTGTAAAACAGTTATTGTTCTTTAGAAATTAAATACATATCTATCGTTTTTTTCCTGGAGTTAAATTTATCTTCAAGTTTACAGAAGTTTGAGTAAAATTTATTACATTAGTATTTTTTTAATCGTTCTATATTTAACGTAACTGTAGTTATATCAGTTTAAGTTCTTTGAATGTATAATAAATTATTACACATCTCCCCAATTTTTTCTCAACTGTTTTCTCTATAAATATATATCTCAACTTAATTTATTTTACATATATTCTTTTGTATTATCTTTTTATTATTATATCTGAGCCGAAAGATGCACTTGGCTTATAACTATAGAGAAATAACATGTGATTGTGTTTTTTCAAAATTATCAACTATCACTTACAAAATTTGTAGAAACGCTTCATTTTATATGCCCAAACTAATGTGTACTCACAACAGACGCGAGATCGTAAAAAAAACATAATCCAAGCACCCGTAAGATTTCCGTGATAACGTGCTAAGAATACGCGAATCTTTTTAAAACTTACTGAAAATCGGGAGCCGACACGACTCCAGACTATTAAGCACTCACGTCAGTGCAATACGTAAACGACCAAGTTCCAAGTCTGGAAGCGTATGCGCAAACTCTAATATCACCTATTTACTATAAAAGGTTAAGTTTATCACGTAGTAGGCCCGACTGTCGCACCAACAGTGGAATTTTAAATACGCGAGATATTTCTGAAAATGTTTATGCGCAGGAAAAACGCTGGATTGCCGTGGAAACGACTGCTTTTCCTTTTATTGTCGATCTATGCAAACTAACTTTGAAGTGGTGTATGGTACGATACGTGATACGCTGACATACCGACAATAAAATAAACTATAAATATGTGTAGTAAATTTAATTTGATTTAGATATTGAAAGAGAATTTAAGTTATATAAAAATCAAATGTAATATAAATTAAAGATAACTTTTATAATGAGGTTAAACTTCTATTTATATAATTATTTAATAAATATTTAGTTAAAAATTACAATTATATTATGTATGACAACTTCTACTTCACGTATATTACCAGCACTGGAGGTATTACTACAAGTAACAACTATAATAATAAAAAAACCTGGACCATTCACACAGAGCCAACCAGTCCCAAGCTAAACAGGGCTTTCGTTATGGGTACTAGACAACTAATATGTTACAAAACTGTATGAATTTACAAAAAAAATATTTGTATTTTTTTTTTTGTAAAAGCTTACAGAATGTACATTGAAGACACCCAGACAAATAAACACACTCATGAACACAAATGTATATACCCTGCGAGAAATCGAATCCGCGACCACCAGACCAACGAGGCCGTTAGTAGAATTGAGGAATTAGTACTGAATAATTGTGTTATACGGGAATCGAAGCTGCGATGATAAGTCAGTGAAACAATGTAATAAACCGCTACATCGCTGTAGTTATCAGTTATGATTTGAAAGATACAATAGCAATTCGGAATTCTCTTGTTTCAAATTAGGTGTTGATTTTCAATGTTGTGTTGATCACAATATGTTCACAAGAATGTTCCATAAACCAGTAATACTTGGAAATAGGCCTCTTTAGATTCAGCGTGGGATTTGAGTGGGTGTTACAAGTTTGTGTATTTGGCAGATAAGGAATGTATTAGTATTTTGTGTATGATTGTGTATGATTCTAGATGTTACATTAGAAATTGATATTTTACAATATATGACGTTAGATGCGCTGGTGACCTTCTGCGTGTTATACGGAATAATAGGTCATATCTTTTTTTGAGTCCATTGCTCATTTACAATCACCAACTATGGTATAATCAAATTAGTTACTAGATGAGTGATAAGAAGTTAATTTAACTTTTTTATGCATACATAAAAAACGAAAACTAAAGAATTGAAAAGCTTACTAGATTACATGAGTGAAAATCGCTAACAAATCTATTATTGGTGTTGCCACATACACAATGCGAGATAATAGGATGAGCATAAAATCAAGTATTTACCCAACGTGGTGAATACAACAGAAATCGCGGTAGTTTCTGGGAATTTCGTATAGGTAGATTATGAGGAATTGAAGCACTGAGAACACTTTCACGAGAGATTCTTTACTAATAATCCACTTTCGCATTTCTATGTTGGTTGTCCACATAAGTAATTTAGAACATTTTTTTTAATTTGTGTACCTCTATACATATTTAATAATTTCATAGATATAGTGAAAAAAATAAACAGAAAAAAAAAAGTAGTAAGCTGTCACAAGAAGAATAAGCAAGAAACTTGTGTGTTGCTCTTTTAAACAATCCTTGTAAGTTCACATTTTACAAGTCAAAACATGTGAATACAAACTACCAACCAGCACTAATTTATTTAGGCTCAAATATAAAAACACAATAAGATTAAATCAGTCGTAGTGATAAGAGCAGACCAGTCTCTATTAGCAGCACTCGTTCACAAGTATGACGGATGAGCCAGCCATCACTGCTCGACCATAGTTTAGGAAGCCCAATGACCCCGCCCACCACGCCGCCACATGTCTGGACATTTTAGTAAGCATGACTACTCATTCCACTCGACCTCGTCATAGCTACGTAAATTTATTTCATGGTAGTTACAGTAAATATTTCCTTAGTAAATCTAATTCTTTTCATATATTTCTTAACTTATCTAGTTGCAATTGCATTACTCAGTAAATAATACATCTGTCTTGAGTTTTCATACATCATAAATGCATAAAAGTCTTAAATAATACTTTCATGCAATTCAATATAAATGACAAATAGGTAACAAGTTTCCGCAACAATTCAACAATTCAAACGTCTAGTTGTTAATTAAGCAATTAGTGTGTACTCAAATAAAGAGAAATAACTCGAAACATTAATACATCTGCCTTGAAACTGGTAACATAAGTTTGCTTTAGTCCTAACTTTTAGGCATTAACTTTTAGTTAGTCAGACTGACTTACGGAATTTTTAACTTTATTTACTTTTTATTTTAATATTAGCTACTCGCCCCGGCTTTGCCTGGGTGTAAATGTATTATATATATAATCCTTCCCCTAGAATCACTCTATCTATTAAAAAACCGCTTCAAAGATTAACTGTACTACCTACATACAGACTAATATTTATTTGACTTTTTTTATTTAATTTAAATGTAAATAATTATTGTAATTTAATATATTTGTAAAATAATGTATTATGTCCACATAAATATTACTTATCTTCCTTTGCATGTACATTGTATACATAATGAATTCAAAATAAATTGAAAAGAACGAAAATTGATTCTCGTATTTTTCTGTAGTGTAATCTAGATATAGAAATAAAAATTAGTTTCAACGAATTGTAAGTTTATACTTACTTAAACGGTTTTCTGAACTTATCTTTTGCAGCTAACAATAAGTATCCTTTACAAAGCGTGGGCATCAGTTACCATGAATTTCACGAAAGCGCCACCTGCTTTTAAATTGTAGAACTATTACAGCTCACGAGTTCATGGTACAGATGGCAGCACCAAATTTCACTTCCCGTTTTATAACCACTTTCCTTAGTTAGAACACAGATGGCGTTTTCAATAATTATCTATTTCTGTAAACAGTAATTAAAGAATTTGTTGTAAATGTAGTATACTAGCGAACCAAATCGGCTTCGCATGGGCGTATAGCGCTCGTGACGGTATTTAATATTTTTAATGTTTTATAATAAAGTGGAATACACTCGCCTGCGTTCTTGGTATACAATGGCGGAACACTAATGAAAAATTCGATGAGCATGAAGATAGGTCAGTTATTCTTATCGTGAAGAATTTACTAAAAATTACAAATTATTAAACTATGCTAGTTATGGGAATGGTTTAAAGAGGTAACCATGTGAAGGTCTACCTAAAACCGTTGCCGTATCAAATTGTGACTGAAGTAGAAAAATCTAATAATATACATATACAACAATCTACGTACAAATGTTTGTACAGTGCGAGGAATCGAACCCACGACCAAGTTGATATAGATATTTTTGAAAGTGCAATAAAGAATAAATCAAATAAATAAATAAATATGGATGCGACGCATTAGTTGTTTCAGAGACTGATACAAACACGTCAAACGATAACTTAATGGCAGTAGTACTTACTGTTCGTGTACATAGGCGACGGTTACCATGATGGTAGAGGCAGGACATTTTGTAATCTATTCCAATGCGTTTATTTTTATTATTTTTTTAATTATAAAATGTGCTTAATACATAATAATTCGTATAAATCAACTGCCTAATAATTTTCAACATTAATATGCATGTTATGTACTGTAAATGTTTTTTTTTTGTCAACAGAACAGTGTAGTAGCGACGATTTTAAATGCCAGGATGGCCGCTGTATCGCAAGCTATCGGCAATGCGATGATGTAGACGACTGTAGTAACGGCGAAGACGAAATCGATTGTGGTAAGAGAATAACATCTATCTGTTTCTACGTATAATTTTAATACTACTATCTCTACTTATGTCTTTATTCTATAAACGATACATCACTCTAAACTACCTATATACCTATGTATCTGCGCCTCTAATTGTAGCCAGAAATTGTATAAATTAAGTTGTATTATATTATATAATACCTAAATCAAGTTATTTTGGTTACTTTGAATGAGCTAATTTCTATCTTTTGGATGATATAAAAAAAATAATGTAGTTTTTAATAATAACAAAAAACATAACTTCCTAAAAAAATATACTAAGAATGAGTTAAACCTAAATCAAAGTTAAACCTAAACCCTATATATGAATTTTGTATGAAAATTTATCAATTTAGTATACAACTAAAACTCTTTGCAGACTGTCAAAGTGACCAATTTAAATGCATCGAGGATGGTACCTGCATCTCAAGTAGAAAAAGATGCGACAACATCCCGCATTGTCGAAACGGTAGCGACGAAGAGAATTGTGGTAAGTGATCCCTATAGATACATTCATACTTAAATAAAACTCTTCTTACGTTCGTAAACTCATTGAACTTTATCTGCGCACGCCTTCTGGATATTTCTACGGTAAGTGTCCCGCCTTCTGGACTGGTTAGGTCACCGAGTATGCAAAGATAAGGGTAAGTTCAATTGTCGGGACAACACGTGCATTTCCGTTCAGTTGCGTTGTGATGGGTTCAGGGATTGTCCGAATGATAACAGCGACGAAATTGGATGTCGTAAGTATATTAATTAATCGACACTGGCTTTGTATTCAAAACGTTGCACTTAAAATTAAACTTGCAGTACCTAACTTTATCACTAATAATGAATACATAGCCAGTTACGGATTAACTATTATTTTATTAATTAACATGCATAATTACTAAGAAACTGCTTTTTAAAAGCATGCGGGCTGGATCGATGGCAATGTGATACTGGATATTGCATCATGAAAAATAAGCGCTGTGACGGACACGTCGATTGTCCTAGCGACAGGTCTGATGAGAGAAACTGCGTCGGTAAGGCACACTGTTCTTAGTACACTCCGACACATAGTTTAGAAACATTATATTCACATATCACTAATATTTTTAAACAATAATAGTATAACTATACCTCTATACATATAAATAAAATTGAAGTATCAGTTTGTAATATTGAGATAACCGTTTTTTACTACATGCATATGAATATAAATACGGTACATACACCAAAATAACATTTTTTACAATTTTTGTCTGTCTGTCTGTTTGTTCCGTCTAATCTCTGAAATGGCTCTGGACCGATTTTGACGGGACTTTTTTTGGCAGGTAGGTGATGTAATAAACCTTAGGCTACTTTTATTTTAGAAAAATTAAGCTAAATTCCACACGGAGGAAGTCGCGTGTACTGGTAGTTTTTAATATATTTCAAATACAATTTTAATAAGTATAAATTTATCGAATAAAAACTATACCTACATATATTTGTATTGTTCTCAATTTATATTCATCAGTATATAATTACTATTAAACGTAGATTGTATATACAGATTTAAATTGCAAAACAAATGCATGGACTAATAAATAGGTACTCACCAATATACAATGTACATAATATACACAGATCTACACATTATTCCAGAGTATGAAGAGTTTAAATGCAGTAGTGGCAGGATCATTCCTAAAAGTAAACGATGTAATCGAGAGTACGATTGTCTCCCTGACGATTATTCTGATGAACAATATTGCCGTAAGTTTCATCAAGCAAGGGCAGTTTTATTCGAGATTTCTGCGTCATTACTTTTTCATGCTCAGTACTTCTTTTACCATTGTATTTCTTTCCTTTTTCTTGTGATTATTTATCACTTTCGTGCCTTTTTGTCGTTCCTTGTCTATTTCTTTCTTCATACTACATATTTTGTTTTATTTGTTTTTCATTCATAAATATCTATATTGATTGCTCTTGAAGTTCTAAATCTTACCAGTTTGAATGAGAATAAATCTTTTTCTTTTACCCGTTAGCGTGCAGAAACGATGACTTCATATGTGACAATGGCCATTGTATACCTATTCACAAAAAATGTGACAGATCGAATGATTGCCAAGATGGTTCGGATGAACGAAATTGCCTTGACGGTTTGATTCTCATAATAATTAACAATAGTATAATTTATATGACAAGGGTGGTGGTCACATTAATAATATATACCCCATATACCCGATATAAATAAAATAAAGGTGTTTGCGGATTTTTCAGTTTTTTTTATTAAATATAAGGTAAAAATACAAGTACAATTTACATAACACATTTTTAACGACTTTTACAAAATATCCTATTTACTTATATTCTAACCAAAAAATGAATCTATTTTTCAAAATCGCAAAGATCTTTATTTCAACATTCGATAATCATTTCATAATCAGAGCATTTTTTTTAAATATCTTAGTATCTTAATCTTAATAGTTATATTAGATTAGGTTACGAAAATTTGATGAACATACTATTAAAAAACATTTCATCTTAAAATAACACAATAGTGTCAAGATTTAAAATAATAATTAGAAAAAAGAAATTCACTTATCATAATCACATGTGTTGGTGCATTTTTCACAAATTGGACATTCTGATTTATTCTTATTGTAATGAATATCGAGTCATTATTGCAACTTTTTTTATTAATCATTTGTTGTTATATCATACGCTTCTAATTTGCATGAATTATAACTATGAATATATTAAATGCTATGAAAGCACTGCTAAAAGTAAATTTTTTACTCAATTTTGACCTAAAATTAGTAAGGGATGTTTTGATTTGACAATAGTGTTGTGTTATTTACTTAAAATATTTTGATGATCCCTTACTAATTTATTTTTTATATATATGGTTATGGTATATTATATTATGGCAGGCCAATTATGCATGGCTTATGAATATATGTGCACGAACGGAGAATGTGTACCTGCTGACGCTCCTTGCAACGGAACCGTAGAATGTAACGACGGGTCTGATGAAAGAGACTGCGGTTGTAAGAGAGGCGAATTCCGGTGTCGCGATAAAACTTGCATTACTTTATCCAAACGATGCGACTCCTACAGGGATTGTGCTAATGGAGAAGATGAAATCAACTGCGGTGAGTCATACAGCCTTGCTCTACGTTTCAAAACATTTAATAAGAGAGGGTATATTATAGTTATATATGTATCACAAGTTATAGTAATACAAATGTGGTAAATGTAATAGAAAAAAAACATTATATAACGACTATTGACATACAAGAAACACTGAGCAAAGTTTCAAATTGATTTGCACGTTGAGCAATGAGCATGTGCATGTGAGTCGCATGAATCTACTTGTATATTTATTTCTATTTTGTAAATATTTTTATACTATGTTTACTTTATTTTAAGATATTATGTATGTATACATGTTCGTGTTTTTAGATTTCATTTGTAATCGCTGTTATTTGTTTCTCCAACAGGTACGTACAGTTACATAGATTTAGTGGACTGTGTCTCTGTACTCTTTTTGACTAATAGTTTTTTAGTCATTGAGTTGCTCTATAGGTTTATGTAATTCTGTAATTTACTTTTATATTATATACTACTAATAAATTTATGTCATTTGTCAATATCTTTTTTTTAGTTTATAAAGTAGCAATCTTTTTAATTGCCAATATGTCTGCCTTTATTAAGGATAACCTAAATTAGTAAAATATGTAGATGTGCTAATAATACAAGGGTGTCATCAGTTGGAAAAAGTTTAATGTGCTAATGTATATAATACTTTATTTCAGAGAGCCTGTGTGAAGTAAATGAATTGCAATGTAATTCCGCTAATGGCAATGTTATCTGTTCTACTCTTTGCGACGGTAATCCTGAATGCAATAATGGGGCTGATGAGGATAATTGTGACAAAGGTATGTCTTATATTAGAAATTTAAATAACTACAGATTATTAATACTAAATACTTTTATTTATTACACTTAGTCTCTTATGATGTATAATACTTGGGAATATTATTTTTACAATAACAATTTGATAGTTGTTGATTTTAGTTTATTAACAATGGATAAAACCCCGAAGTATAATTTAAAGATAATTTAATATAAAAATAGGGCGGACTGCAGAAGTAACACCAGATAAGTAAAGAAAATGGAAGACTTCTTTTTATTTTTTTGCCGAAAATTCCACCCATCAACATACTCGTACACTGGACAACAGAACTCGTACACTGAACAGAGTTCTGAATAATAAGCACCAATCAGTAAGTGTAGCAACAGTAATTAAAGTGACAGACGTTCGCAATAAACCCCAAGTTAGAGAAGCTAAGAATCTCCGAAAATCTCGATTCTTCAAGCCACCTGGCTAACGTTAAGTAACGGTATCTCCGTTCCTCTAAACTTTAACATACAATGTCCGTATTCTGATGAAAGATAAACGAGCTAGAAAACGCTTTACAATACATATATTAGTTGGAACATTCTGGGTCTTGCAGAAGTACGACGACAAAGTATAGAAATGAAGTACGGACAGGATGTTGTATTTTTTCACTATAAAACTGATGGAATCATATGGAGTAGGATTTATGATAGCAAAGAAATAATATTGCAGAATTCCGTAATTACTCGGACCGTATTACTGAATTTAAGCTCCAGCTATCAATTAATCAAGCATATGTACATATTCTGATGATGATGAATATAGGATTTTATCATCTTCTTAACAAAGGGTATTAACTAAAAAGGTAAAATTATGGGTATTATGGTAAAAATTCCAATCTTAAACTGGGTTATATGTGAGAATCAAACAATTATTCATAGGACGTTGATTCAGATCCATCTAGAAGGACCATTGTATAATCCTGGATAGCTCTAATATAACCAATGGACTGTGTAATTCGTGTAGACTGTTTGAAATGACAATAGTTATAATTAAATTTAAATAATGAGATCAATTAAGCCGATAATTATTGGTGCCGGTTGGTGGGCAATTGACAATTGGTAGAGATAAAATAAAAGAAGACATGACTAACTTTGGTCAATTTTGATATCCCAACAAAGTAGCATCTCATAATTGAGGAACATTTACTTCGAGATTACATCCTTTTGGTAAGCAGTTAAGAAACTCATAAGTCCTCATGAGAGGTTATTATCACTTTAGAATGTCTCAAGATTGGTTCATATTTTAGTACCTTACAATTATTTATGAACATTTTTAAAACGGAACAGATTCCAAAATAAAATATGTTATTTTATATTATCTTATATCGAGACTTATATTAGAATAATATACAATAAATAAACAATATTAATAAAAATAAACTGGATAAACATTAACTTCCTGAATAAGCTGGATTACGCAGTAACTTTTCCACTACGGATCACCTTCAAAACAATACGTCTTTGTTTGGCTGTAGTGGGCGACACAATGGTATTCAATAGTATTACTCACTCAGCAATATTTACAGCTTTACATAACCAGGAACCAATAAATCGATTAAGAAGGGTGGTCCCGCGCTCTCCTATAATCCTACTGCCTTAAAAGGTATTTTATCTAAACAGAAGACAAGAAAATTAACTGCTGTACTGAAGAGCTGTTGGTCCATGGAAACGCTAATGAAGGAAGACGGCCTTCCAAAGTTACGAAACCTTGAATTCAGGAACATATCTCTTGTCTATCATAGTATACGGTTCTCCAACAACGACTTGACACACAGAAGTACAAACTCAAGTTTTGTCAAAGAGCGATGGTAATATGCTAGGGGTAAAAAGATTGACCAAATTCGTAATACTAAACTTTGATCGTAAATTGAGATGGAAGGAGTGGAAAAAAGAAATGGAATTTGGCGAGTTACATCAGCCGTAAGAATTCCAACCAAGAAGTCCAACTGGACTAAGATCTAAGAATTCACCACAGTGTGTGATATATAGGTTAATAATAAATAATATTTTTTTATTTAGCTTTATTGAAATGTAGCACATTTCAATAAAGGGAACACAACAGACGTTAACTCTATCAATACAAAAATTTGGAATTTCAGATACACGTATACATTTATTTGATTACAAACACACATATGCATTTTACTAAATAAAACTATATAAAAGAAATCTAAGCTGTTGCCCTTATTATAGTATATAAACTAGCACCGCTAATCAAAATTATATAATTATATGAAGTAAACAAAATTATCTAATATCTGTCAAACATTTGCAAACGTCGATTGGATAAACTTAACTAATGCGAATAACATTACAGCTATGCGAAATTGTATTACACATATTAAATACGTCTATTTATATATATATACACATGCAATTAAATGATCTTATTTTTAAAGTTTGCCGCCACCAATGCGACGATAAATGTTTGGAAAACGAAAAGATATGCGACGGTAATTCCGATTGTTCCGACGAAAGCGACGAACTTGACTGTAATCCATGCGACGGACCGGACGACTTCAGGTAACTGTTCATTAGTGTCACTTATAGTTTATTCACAGTATTAATATTTAAACATATCATTATATACAATATAAGATCTGCATTACGCGAGTTAACATAAGCGAATCATTATAATTGCAATATATCTGGTGCATTTGCGATTTTTATATTTTTTATAGCAATTCCCACTCCAGTCTAAGTGTTTTATCATATTTGTTTTAGATGTGACAATGGAGACTGCGTTGCAGCTACTATGCACTGTAATGGTATTACCGAATGTACAGACAGAAGTGACGAGGAAAATTGTAATTCAACCATGATAGCGAGTCGTGGTAAGCAAATAAACCTAATTTAGGGTATCTACCTGGATACCATTATCTAACTATATATCTCCACGCCAGATCGCTTATGGAGTAAGCAGAGAGAAGTATTACTGGCATTTCTCAAAAATCATATAGAAAGAAGTATTCATTGATATTGTATTTATTAAAATTTTAGATTTTCTTTCAAGTATAAAACTACATTACCAACGAGTAATATAAGCTGTATTCAGCGCGAGCACCACATCGAGATACAAGTAATAATACAAGAACTGAAAAATTACTAAACCTAAATCCGTCAAGCAACTTGTTTTGTGAGATGCATTTTGGTTGAAAGGCAAAAATATTGTCAATGGTTATACTATATATATAATTAGTATATAATATATATGATATATAATTGTTTACCATTTTAATTATATTAAAAAAACATCTAGTAATAAAGGTTATAGGGTCCCACAATAATTGTATCCATATGAAACTGCGGTAGGTGGCTAGTAATCATTGTATACCAAAGAGAAAGAAAGAAAGAATACCAAAATACAATTTCTCATTTTTTCTTACAGTGCAATGCCTCGAATACCAATTTGTGTGCAAAAATGGCGAATGTATAAATAACCAATTTATCTGTGATGGACGAGACGACTGCTCAGATAGTTCCGACGAAGAAAATTGTCGTAAGTATACGTTTTTTTTATATGGTAAAAGAACTCATGGCACCAGGGCAAATAATTGTGCAGATCGAAAAAGAAGTCAATAATAAGTATCAATATATCAGTATTTTGTAAACTTATATGTGAAGCACAAAGCACTTCAATTCTTATACTATAGTTGCATTACAACAGTCACTCTATGTATGTATAATTGTTGCACAGCTCTATCGCACTAACACACGCCCTTGACTCAATCCGTGCACCGTTTACACATTTTTTTTTATAATTTATAAATACACAATCTATAGGAGCTACTATTTATATATATATTAAATATAAAGTCTAGTACATTAATTGTAAAAACGTTGAATATGACATTTCATGCGGTTAAAGTTTATACGGAGAAGTAGTGCAGAAAGTTATTTATATATATATATATTTGATTATGATAATGATTAAATGCTTAAATAATAAATTGAATTTATAAAAAATATAACAAAACCACTAACATGTGTTTGATACACATAATATACACTTTTGTTTACAATCTAGTCTTTGACAATAGAATCTTCATAACGTTTAAACTTTATATTCAAGATTGAACGGTATAGCACATGGGTATACTTTTTTTCTAAAAATCTAACAACAAATCTTTACTTAAACATTTTTATGACACTAAATATACATTAGTTCTCTTGCTCATAAAGTTATTGCTTACGGAAAGTTAAAATTTAAAAAAATTATTGAAGTGGATTAATAATTTCATTTTTAAAAATCAATAGTAAGTTAAGTTTTGAAATGACAATGGTACACAGCATGGTTCATGGTGAAGCCTTCTCGTTCCCCTGTAATGGAGCCGTGTCACGAATCAGAATTCACCTGTTACGATGGGCGATGTATTACTCACTTGAGGCGCTGTGACAATATTTATGACTGTTTGGATTTCTCTGACGAGCAGAATTGCTTAAATTCTGGTACTACAATATATTTTGATTATATTAGTATATTGAATGCGTATTCGAGCCTCCATATATATAGTCTGCTGTATTCCAAATTTAGTGATTAGGCGTTGTTACCATTACTATACCTATATTTATATATTTTTTTACTAAACATGTAGATTTGTTCCCACTATGGATAATATCATATTACTAGTTTGTTGTTATCGTTATATTTCTATGCATGTTTTAGTTATTGTAGGTATTAGCAATTATTTCTAAATATGCATTATTATGTTTTAATTTTGAATCAAAGTTTTAGAATACGAGTGTAACCATTCGTACACATGTTTATTTTATTTTTTGTTTAACTTTTATTATTTATGAGTTTATTATTTATAATTTGTGTTATTCATTTCCAGCGTGTAGATATGACGAGTTTGAATGTACGTTAGGTAACTGTATACCTGATAGCGAACGTTGTGATGGTAAAAAGGACTGTGATAATGGATCGGACGAAGATGATTGTATAAATATTTATAATTATCAATCAACCCGTCCACCACCAGTTTATACCACAAGGGGTTATGATAACGGTGACGTAGGAATAGGATACCCGGAAATACCTGATTCTGAACCACCACGGCGTGGTGACCGCCAACCTTGGGAAATCGATGACACTGAGGACAATTTACCTTACACTACACCGCTGTATGAAAGGCCTGACATTGACTCAGAATTCCAACCAAGTACTCGCAGGCCTTCATATGGAGGATACCCGGAAACACCATACCAACCAGACTACAATAGACCGGGAGGTGGTTATAATACATTTTATCCGTCTGAGACAGAATCAGGAAATAACCGTTATCCAGGATATCATCCTCGTGGTGAAAGCGGGTCAGCTGAAGATAGAGGTCGAGATAGAGTGCCTTTTGATAGAAATCGGGGACAATCAGGCACATCTTTAGGTAAGAAAAATTGTTTAAAGAAATAAGAGACTTCTCTGCTTACGAGATCGAATAAAAGTTATAATAGACCACATGAGTCATCTAGTACTTCAAATAATCTCTAAAGAAATCTTGTTTTTATATTTATTATTGTTGACCATTTCTAGTCATTGTCAATGATGCTAATTATTATAGGATATCCTATAAATACCTATCACCATTTATTTAGACATTTGCAAAAGTTATAGGATATTAAGCTATTGGGAAATATAACTACAAAAAATATAACCAATCACAGTATTAACCTTAAATCACTAACAAGCACAACGACAGTTTATATAGAGAACATCATGATCAAACACAATATTTAATAACGGAATTAATGTGTCACTTGTCTAAACATCTACATAATGTCACGTTTAAACGTCCATGCCTGCAACATGATAAATAAATTTATTTTACTAAATTTTTCCTTTACATCGTCCTTTGAAAATATAAGAGATTAAAAGAGCCAATGTTAACACAATCTTTTTTTATTTTTAATGCTGAAAATTTTTAATAATATAACGATCATGCCATCTTCGGCAAATTTGTCGTTAGCTATTTAAGTAGTGTCTCTATATAGTTTGTAGTTTTGTTGGTACGATTTAAACAATTAAAAAAATCGTACCACTCACAATTTTTTTTTCTTAATTTTTTTTATTTAACTTGGTTAAACAAAAAATTTACAAGTATAAGTAAAATGTAGAATTACTTTCTGAACACGTATTTATTTAATAGTGATTGTATGAAGATTTATTCATTACTAATAAAATAATACTTACTTGGATAAAAAAAATAAATATCATTACAAATTACAATTTTCTTCTCTTATATTTAAAAAACTAATTTACAAATAAATACTAGTAGAAAACAAAATAATCCATAAAATATATAATGTAAACCATAATCAAATAAATGATACACGCATAAACAGACGGAGTCAATTTCATGAACAGTGACGATTTTAATTTTAAACCAACCCTTCATAGATTCATGTTCATAACTCCTTCAATCATGTTTAACGTAAAAATGATGCCTGTAGTCACCGTCAACAACAATGGCTGCCGAAGAAACCAATGGCGTTGCGAGAACGGATCTTGCATCGATGCACACCGCCGATGTAACGGACACATCGACTGTCCAGATACCTCAGACGAATATAATTGTCCCAAAGACAGTAAGGATAGCTAAAAATGCTAATCACAAGGATAATATAATCGTAATAACATCAAGAACATTGGCAAATTTACATTTTCTACGAGAACGTACATTTTACGATAAAAATAATATGATAATTATTATTTTAATGATATTGTTGTCATTATGTTTTAACTTATTTATCGTCATATATTTATTTGCATATTTAATTTCAATTCGCTTTGTCATATCACATCATAGACTATTTACCACCTTACATAATTGAGAATCCATTTGCCAATCTTCTTTTTAATAGTTTGTCTACTCAGAAGTATCTGAGTAAACTGTAATTAGTCTTAACAGTAATGGTGATGGCTCTAAACTTTCTATGTCAATATATTTATATTAAATCATTAAACATATTAAATAGAAGCAAGTAATTATGTAAGGCACTAATATACAATTTATTTTAATTATTTTATTTAAAATCCATATTCAAATGATACTTCAAATTATTGTAATAAATTATGGAGCTTGTGGCTCACCTACTTCTGCCGTCGTGTATCTATTATTGCACACGACACCGTCCTCATCGGCGAAAATGACGACCCCAAGCTTGTAGTGTATTCGTGACACATCTAATCACTCGGGAGCCTGACGGCCCCGGGCGCTTTACACCGGCACCCACAGTCGCTGTGATCGATCCTTCTTCCATTAAAACGGAAATCGAAATTATAACAATTCCTAGACTGTAGTCGTAATCTTTTGGCAGTTTTCACCCGTTCCATAAGTCTTTCCGCTAATTTAGAGTGCCCTCTGGACTCACGCTCTTTTTCGTCCCATTAATCTGTAAATGTCCGCTAAGGCCAGCAGGTTTAGAATAGTTAAAGAAAAATCCATGTCCTGTTTCACTGCATGAAAATATTCTATCTCAAACACCCATTTTTTTTTTAAGAATATTCTATGATACTTTTACCATCCATATTCTGATATTTTTTTTAGTCATTAATTATAAATCTATACTAGTATCATTTAGAATTTTAATATTACTTCTGTTTTTTTATGGTGATGGTCAACGTCTTTGTGTTCTTTTTATTAGTATTCTTTTTTATTAATAGTAGATATATGTCTTAATTATGGTATTTTTTAACTATTTGCTTAAAATTGATATCGGTAGGTGTAGATTAGCATGAAAGCATGTTTTCTAGAGCTATTCTATCTATACAGGAAAAAGCAGAGCATCCAGGATACGTATATTGTCTAGATTAAGCAAAAGTGAGTTTATAAAGAATGAAATGATCTTGTGTCGAAAATAATATTAAAAACCCTATTTTATATGATGTGTCGTAATTGAAACTTTGTCCAAGTCTGTTAATTGTTTTATGAAATTTCTACCGTATTTCACTTAACCTTTATTTGATTATTTTCTGTGATTGTAATTCATTGATTTTTATACAGGTTACATATGTTATTAACGACTTAAGATTTTTAGTGCCTTCAGTAAAAACCTTTAATAAAACAATAAATTTCAAAATGACTACTCTTTAGTCGCAATTCTTCTAAAGAATAAATAAATTTATTGTTTTACATACCAGTAACGTAGTTTATACACAATTGACAGACATGGAAACAGAAGAATAGATACTGTCACTATGTAGGTGTACTAGTGACGTATATATTCTTTTAGTTCCTGTATTGGAGCCACCGCTTATCAATGAAACAAAACTTATTTTTCCAGCTCCACCGGCCCTGAACCTCAAGACATACCCTAATGAGCAAACTATCAGATATGGTAAGTCTGTTTTATCTAAGTATATATATTATTTAGACACCTGTTGTATATTATCTTTGTTATGCTTAGGGATACAGTGCAGGATTAACCTTGTAGTAAATGCTACTGGGCTGGCGGATTGAGAGACCGCAAAGCCACACATGTTTGAACATAATAAAAGAAAGAGATTTTTTTTAATTAAGTTTAATTTATTTTCTATTTAGTCTAAAGTGAGTAATAGATCAGTCGTGTTTATACACGACTGATCTATCTCATACTCACTTTATATCTTATGATATTAAAAAAAAAACCCCCAACTTATTCAGTTTGTGTAACTAAACTATTGTCCTCTTTAAAGAATTTCTTACAGGCCCCGCGCTAGCTTTATGTGGTACCTACTGTAAATATTACATATTAATCTGACATTGTCATATGTTACAAAAATAGGTGGATACATTTTTTTTGTAAATAAACATATATACATATTATATATAGATAACACCCAGACCGATATAAACAATCATATTCATGAATACAAATGTTTGTACCGTGCGAGGTACCGAACCCGCGATATATATCTCTCTTTCTCTGTGGTAGTAAAGCGGTATGCTGTACCACTCCACCATTGAGGCTTTTTTCACCACGTACCGTTTGCTTGTTAGTCACCACGTAGGTGACAAACAAGCGTACGGCCCATCTGATGGTAAATGGTTACAGTAGCCTATGGACGCCTAAAACACCAGGGGTGTCACGTGCGCGTTGCCGAGTCTTAAGAGGCTGTCGTATATATATAGAAAAATAATATACACGTATTACTATTTTTCGTTTCATTTATTAGTTAGCAGATATATTGTTATATTATTTTTTTTATAAATGTATTCTTAACAACAGGCGTGGAAAACAGGTGAGCTTACATAGTTAGCGAGATCGGTAATGGTAGATAGAAGCTATTGGAATTTATCTCCGTCGTGCTATGTTATATGTATATTTATGAATTTAAATAGACGTGGTATGAATATTTAAAAAATAAGAAATCATACAATTACATTGTGAGGTGTCTCAAAAGGTCATTATTACTTTTTATTTTCTAGAAAATATTAAAATACTACTTACTGTTTTTAAAGATATATATAAAACTTTACTTAATGGATACACACATTAAGGGGGTCTTCCTATGTGACGGCCTGTTTTTTAGGGATATTTTAGGATTTTTTTCTACGACCAGTAAATATTTAGAGCTTCAAGTTTTTTATCATTTATTAACACATATTTGGACAGTATAAATATAAAATTTCAGCTAAAAATATTCAGTCAAACTAGAGTTACAGCGCTCTGAACACCCCCGCCTCGAAAAAAAGAGCTCCCACTTCCTCCACGATTCCGGCTGATCGGCTTATCTGAAAAAAAAAAAAACGGCGTTTTAATTTGTAGGCTTAAAAGCACGGAATGACCTATAATCAAATGAATATAAAAAAAATTGGATTTTTGATAGACATTTGAAATAAAAGTTGCAAATTAGGCGTTTTTTTTTTGTTTTTTGCTATAAAAAAATCGAAGTTTTGAAAATTTTCGATTGATAATAGTTCATTCCATGCGTTTACATATATTGAGTGTGCCCTGTAAATTTCAAGTAATTCGGTCCAGCCGTTTCTGAGATACAATGGAGGAAAGTTTGAAAAACACAGTTTTGAGAAAAACGCGTTTAAAGTTTCAAGTCCGTTAAAAACTATTAAAATATTAACTTACTCTCAATCGGCGATGCCTGGTCCATAGAGTATTCCTTCCTCTTCCTCGTGAAACTCTTTTAAAGCAGATTGTTCAGCTCTTGAGTCAATCCTGGCTTGTTTAACGACATCACTTACGCGCCGCTCAGAGCGTAAGATTCGCTTTTCATCCCGTTTCTCAACATACGCTTGGGCTTCACGACCAACAGGGCATCCCATAATCGACATAACTTTTAAAATACCTTGAAAACCTTCATTAAAGATAATAACTGCTAAGTAGCTAGCAATTTCAACAACTTTGGGACCAGAATGAAGATGTTTAGGAGCGAAAGTCCAAATCAAAGAATTCAAAGATTCGTTATTGTTTTGTGTCTCTGCTCCTAAACAACGAATTAATAATTCGTCTTTCGATAAATCTTCGAAAACCGGTTTGATAGCTTCTTGGACTTGCGGAATTAGAGGTGGTTTATCGTGATGAAATTGGTCCAGTTCATTATTAGCTTCAGCCTTACGCCATTTACACCAACTGTCTTCGCCTTCTGGACAAAATTGATGCTGAGGGTTTTCATCAGAAGAACCAATCCACTCGTACTTCCTTTCCGTCCACTCATTATGAAAAAAAATAATTTGTAGCTGTTGCTCTCTTCGAAGTTCAACCAATACTAAAATAACTTCGGTAAAATATTATAACAATAGAAATTTCTGTTTAAGTCTGTAGAAACGTGTCTAAACTTGTATAAACAAATATATTAATAAAAGGGAGGCCAGGTATAAAGCCGACGGTACACAATAGGCCCGGTCTCTAACTGCCAACTCACCGCTCCGAACCGCTCTTTCTTTTACCTGCTGTATCTTTAAAACGACTTCGAATTTTCTAAAATCGCTTTACTACCGTATTCTAGACATGTTAAGGGAGCAATTTATGAAAAAAAAAAATCGATTTTTTCAACCCATCACATAGGAAGACCCCCTTAAGTAAAGTTTTAGTAAAAATAGGTAGTCCGAATGTATAATATTGTATTATTTTATCAGTATTCTTATATTTTTATAGTTTTACTAAAACTACAATAATTAGTACAATTCTACAAAATCACCTCTTTAGCAATAAACTATCTTACATTTTTTTAATGTCCTCAAACAGGAGAATAAACAGTGGTAAGAATCAATGGACAGATATTTATATTAAAATATATAGCTTATATTACATTTTTAATACATCATCTACTTTATATTTTAAGAGAAGAACATATTAAGTTTTATGGCCATTTTTTAAATCCATTAAATATAGGTACACTTTATACAAAGGTAATAATATTATGAAAGAGCTCCCTGAGAACCCTTAATTAATATTAACATTGTATCTCGATTAGGTATATAACGTCGAAAATTAGATATAACCGCGAAAGAAGCTTAAAACACAGTCCTTAATAAATATTTAGTCGAATATAGACAGTGGTGAAGGTACTGATATTTTAATGATTAACATTCTGTCTTTTTCATGGTGGTGGAACAGCTAAATATCGACATGGTGAGTCGGTGTGCCTATTATTTTATTGGGTACCGATATTGCATTTTCGGTTCAATTTATCTATAATTTTATAACAAAACACTTATAATTTAATTACATGCATTTGGTTTTTTGCTTTAATCAACAATTTTATATATACCTACTACATACATTCATATTATGTACATGATTTCATGCTGGCCAAAAGTCATTGGTAATAACTATCATCATTGGAACTTTTATATGATTTCTCTTATTGAATATATGTTTAACATTTGGACTGGTGTTTTTAAATCAATTCTTTTTATCAATTTATTAAAAGTGAAATATAGTACATTAAACAACAAGGGAAATCATTACATATTTTACTGAAATAAAAATACGCTGTCATCTGTATTGTTTAAGTATAAAATATATGTTTTCATAATATAAGAGTATGATAAAAAGTGAAGTAGTCTTGTTTAAGTCCCTAATTTTATTACTTGAAAGATGTTTAAATTAATTAAAAATAATGTCTACAGTACAGATGATATTATTTAAACACAATAATTCAAAGACCAACATAACACAATAATTACTAATTAATAGTGAATCGGGGACAAATGCATGGTATTTACTCCATATTCATTATAATATAATAGTTTGATAAAAGTGACAATATGTTGTTATTAAAATGATTAGATACTAAAGTTAAATAAAATATTGTTACCAAATTAATCAAACATCCAATATTATCTATTGGTTGAACAACATAGTTTAACCGGAAAATAATGATTGATCATTTAACGTAACATAACAATTATTAACGATATTCACTATCATAATAAGCATTTAAAAATAATTTTGATTAAGTGGAAAATTAGAGGTAAGACTATTCTTAGGTAAGATTTTTTAATATTATAATTGCAAAAGCAGTGAGGACTATACATTGCATTTTTATTTTTTATTGTATTAGAAATTTCTTTATGTCTCTCTATAATTTTTTCCATAAACAGCAATAGATCTCTTCCGTATTTGGCCTCATTTGAGGCAAAATATGAAGATTATAGTAATATCTGCCAAATAAAAACGAATAATGTGTTAGCCCTACTGAATAAAGCAGATAAATATCTTATTTCTTTCGTGCCTATTTTTCATTCGGTCCCTTTTTTTATAAGTTAGATAAGAACAAAAAAAAATGTCTCTCAAATGTCAAATCTGTCTTATTCATAATTAGTAATTACATTGAAAAATTATTAATAGTAAAACTCTTTATTGTGCACAAATATATCAAATACAATACAAATATCTATCTTCAACTCAACTGTAACACTATGATTTAGGTTTGATGTTAAAAAGTGATCGATCATATACATATACATTGTGTTACCAACAGTTAGTTTTTATACTTCCGACTAAAACATATATTTTGAAATAAATATTAAATATGTGTGAGATATTATTCGAAAAGAACCAAAGAGTATATAAAATAGTAGATTACCTTTACTTTAATAGCTTACTATTAATAGTTATTCCACTTGGTTTATTAATTATAGCATTTACTATTTCATATGCATATATTGATTTGTGCTTTAAATTAAACAACTTTACTTAATAATCCTATTAATCAAAGTCCTATCTGAATCAGAAACCTACGACAAAAGTATATACTATTATTCGGACAAATGAAACACAACAACATACCAACAAATTAAATATCATATAAATCAAACCAGTCGTTCTTAAGTTATAAATATCAGAACTAACGAGAGTTTATTTTATTGTAATGTATATATATATTAAAATCTATCCTATTTAGTAGATGAATCAAATCCAAGACAAAATCTTTGGAACTGTAACTGCTAATTACAATAATAGTTAGTAGATTTTTATAATTAAGCGCCTTATTGGATTCTATTGTGTATACTTACTAAATATATTTATGTACATTCCTTAACTTAAATTTGCTTGCTGTTTTTGATTCTAGGCAAAGAGCAACTAACACTCAATTTTATAAGAGTTGCCTGTCGAACCAAAAGTGCATTTATAGAACAAGCTCTAATAGTTCTATAATAGAAATTCTAAAATTGTTTCACACAAAAAAAATTTATTCATTTGAAACAAACCTTCAAAAATAATCTATAAAACAGTTCAATGGTGTATACAAAATTTGGTTATACAGATTCATGCTATTGTTTTGTTCCTAGACGCAAATCTGGTCATCGCCTTCGATCGATTTTATTTAAAAGATTCTGAAGAGACATTAATTTTATTTCTAAAACGTCTTAACAAGTGACTAATACTATAGAACTAGAACTCCCATAAGAGTTTGGTTGAAGTGTTAATTGCAGATTAGTACTGCAGTGTTAGTAAATAACAATCCAGTACAATGAAAAAGTGACTGGGACAAGACGGTAACTTTATACAAAGATATATGCCACTGTTTTACTGTGGAATAGGTGTATGACATTACATCTATATACTGAACATTTTAAGCGTCAGGAGTAGCAAGTGTTTTGGAGGTCATCATATCGTGTCGTGTATGATTATAAAGTGTGTAATTTCTATAAAACAATACCGACCCATTTGAAAGGATTGAATACTCTAAACAAGTAAATATTGCATTAGATAGTTAATTATCTGTCAAAAATGTTTACTATTATCTATGGCTAAAATATCAGCAAGTAAAGAAATGTAATAAGCGTAAATGTAGTATAAATTAAGTTATACTTATGTATGTATATACTAGCGGCGTCTATTTTAACATTATACATTATAATATAATTATTTAATCTAAATGTAATATACATTTAGATTCATACTCATTGGGTAATTTAAGAGTCACATGTATACTAATGTTGTATAGATCACATTGAAATTGTTTTAGCAAAATTCGTGCACGATATTCCAAATTCATTCAACTATATAGAAAATAAAAAATGGTAGTAGTAGATTAGTCATTTCATTTTATTATTTGGTTTTAATAAACATCTGGTGGGTTTTAATTACATTTAAGGATGATACTGATAGCATATTTCTATGCTTTAAGGTGGCGATGTGGTATTTAGTTGTCGCGATGAAGGACCTCAGAGGGTAGCAGTCAGATGGATCAGAGAAGGTGGGAGACCTCTAAAACCTGGTTCCACAGACAGGAATGGACGACTCGAAATGAACAATGTTACAGTGAGTGTTCATTATTTATATACACACATAAATTATTAAGTTCGTAAATATAATAATTAATGTTTGGACCTGGTAGATGACGCTGCCTTTCCGGATAGGACGGTGTCTGCCTGTTTTATTGGTATAAGTGTATAACGTTATCTTCTCTGTGGTATATGTTAACATTTTTTTAAACTCTTCAGACGGCGGACAGTGGAGTTTACATTTGTCAAGCTGTTAATTTCTTGAGTTACCCCGGAGCGGAGTTGCGCGTTACCCTAACAGTAGATAGAGCTGGTAAGTTATATCTAATATGTAATTATAATTTTAGATTTAATGTAGTCGTCGCGTCCTTTTTAGCCAATTGACTGCAATATGGGTTAGGGCATCTCCTCGAGGTGATGCATGCCAAGCGTCCAAGCTGTCTCCGTAGGAGCAATAAAACGGTAAAAGTGGATATGGAGGCCGTTACCCATAATGCAGGGCCTGAGCAGGCTGGACTAGGAGAATCGAGTGCCTTATTGGGACATGGAATATGAGTGGTGAAAAGAGGAGATATGATGAATGAACTGTTAATATGATTAAAGACGTCTGGATGGAGACCAAGCGAAAGTGCCAAGGCACGTTTCATTTCATGAGAATGATGTATGTTTCCTTTGGCAAAAGGTTAAATTTGAATGTGAAAAAAAGTAATGGTCTTTGAAAGGACAATTTGCAGAAACACTGCAAAAATTATTGCAAGTAATGAATGTTTAGAACAAATACAATGTTGGATATATTCCACAAATATGAAAAATACACCGCTAATATGCACGAAGAGTAAGTGCAGGAAATAAAAATATAATATGAATAAAAAAGAATAGTATATAAGGACAAAAGCCATTCGCACAGGTACTCCTTTACTATTGCCCAGACACTTATTCCAAGAATATACAAGACTTATGTGATTTCACAAGTTTGATATTTTGTTTGTGGGAAAATATTACCTTATAGCTATTAATAAGTCATTTATCAGTTAATAAGTTATTTTATAATGAATTACTCACAAATTGGGCAGGCACATTCTGCTTACATTTTTAAAAGAACCGCTCGTATTCATCGCTGATTGGAGATTTGGAATTCTAGGTGTTTAGGCCCACACTATCGATTAACCTTTATTCCTCATAGGTTTCCGCATAATTTCAGATTACTATGAAAAAAAAAACGTGATACTTATTCTACCGTAACAATAAGTGTAGTTTGTATTCCTTTTTTAACAGATAAAATTATTGCTGGTCGATTAAAGTTAGCCTGCCAGGGAGGGAGGCTAAACCTCTCGCCCTCCCCAGAGTATCAATATGATATGTCTCTGGAACGCGTTTATTCAAGAGAACTAGTTCCTTAGTGAACTCTACAAAAATTTCTAGATAAGATTTTAAAAAAATAGTACAGGACTGTGATAATTAAGTCTTATATAAATTGACTGTTCTGACGTTTTCTTGTATTTAATTAAGTCTTGCTAATATAATCGATCTTGTATTTACAAAATAATTTAATAAAATAAACATTCTAGGTGTGATCCAACGGCCAGTATACCCAGGCTGTCGACCTTCTGATGCTACATGCGGCAGTGGAGAATGTATTTCCAAAAATTTAGTCTGTGATGGGAAAAGGGACTGCAGCGACGGCTCTGATGAGGACAGTTGCAGTATGTATTATACCTATTACAACATACAGATCTTACCTTATGATTACATGAAATATATTAAAAATTCCATCTATACTAGTATGAGATTTATTTATTTATAGCTTTATTGTATTTTATTAACAAAAGAACAAATGTACAACTCTTAGTTCCAACTAGATTTCTGCTTCTCTCTTTCCTATAATAAATATGGTTTAATATTTTAATACAAGAACCGTTTAGAAAGTCTACAGATGTTTTATAGAATAAAACGGTATAATATATATGACCTCTATAAATTAGATAATACCACTGATAGGATAATATTATATTATAATATGTAGATATATAAATCGTAGAATTAAGTATAAGTCAACATCATATTCCATAAACAATTTAAATAAAATATTGAAGGCATATAGAAATAATTTACTGATAATGTCTCAATCACTTTGGACTATTTGTATTAGTCCCGAAGGAAACGAATGGTCTGAAATAACATTGTAATTGTACAGTTCACGATGGTATCTGCGAACCTAATCAATACCAATGCGCGAACCGTCGATGTGTGCTGAAGACCTGGAGGTGTGATGCGGAAGACGACTGCGGCGATGGGTCAGACGAACAGGACTGCGAGGCCACAGACCCCTCACTTCCTTGTCAGCCATCAGAGTATACTTGCTCATCAAACCAATGCATTCCTAAGAGTTACCACTGCGACGGTGTCTTTGATTGCCAGGATAAGTCCGACGAAAAGTTATGTGGTATGTAATTTAGTTATCACATTTCATCAAAATTATATGATTATACTAATCGTTGTACACATAATAAATAGGTAAACAAGCAGTGTCTGTACACTTTGTACTTATACAACCGAGTAGGTACTAAAACTGTTTTCAGAATTTTTGTCTATCTTTAGGATTGTCCATAGCAATATTCTTTATCTAGAATCTAGAAATTTCTTATCCGCTATTGCTTATACCTGACGACCTTGATGGTCTAGCAGTTAGCATCGCCTCACTTTCGATGCTCTAGGGTTCGATTTTTCGCACGGTAGCTACGTACAAACATTTATATTCATGGCTGTGACTGTTTGTATTGGTCTGGTTGTTTTCAACGTATAATGTATGTGTATTTACAAAAAAAAGTATCTATTATATTAATATCAGTTGTATAGTACCTATAAAACAAGCTCTGTTGAGCTTGGGACATTGGACTTTGTCATGGTGCTGTGTGAATTGTACTAAGCCGTTTGTTTTATTTCAATCGGACTAGTTAATTATAATAATACGCGATATTCTAGAATGACGGTTCGGTCATCTATCTAATGCCTTTTCATCATTATCAATTTAAGAACTAACTGTAGTTCTTAATTCAATCATCAATTTAAGAACTACAGTTACATTAATTTATGATTACATGTATCTTTAATAGCAATATTACAATAAAATGTATCGTATTTAATTTTCAAAAACGTAATTTGGAAATGATCGAAAGCGATTAGATAAATACGAGCAATATTTTTCAGCTCCTGTAGTAATTGTTAAGCCTCCAACTCCGGGATTGGTACGTTTGTTTGTCGGCGATACCTTAGAACTGGTATGCTCTGCTGTCGGCGTCCCTGTTGCGGTGATATCTTGGAGATTGAATTGGGGACATGTACCCAATCAATGTATATCTGAAAGTGTAAACGGAGTCGGTGTCCTCAAATGTCCTAACATGCAGGTCAGTTGAATAAACTTATAATTGAGGATATTCCGTAATCTAGAAATATAACAAAATTATTACGTATAATACTTTGGTTATCGCGATAATTTTTTCGCGTTTGTCTATGTATATTTTGCGTAATTTGATGGCAAACGAGTAAAATGACTCTACCACAATACATGCATACGGGGAAAGACTAATTACATATTTCACCTCCATAATGGACAACATAAGAAGTACGAGTGTACGCTCTACTTTACGTAATATTATTATATTTATTGATATTAATATTGGTAAAAAAAAGTAAGAAAGTAATTAAATAAAATTATAAATTTGCAAGAACTTTTAATCCAATGTAGATCTTTCTTGACAATCTCAAATTAATCTCCGTACCCCGAGTACTTTTTTGCTTGTACGTTAGCTTTTGTATATATATTTAGAAACATTCAAATTTCAACACATAAAAGGTGTTTCGCCATTGGAAATGGGTGAAATAAGGTTACAATCCGCGGGAACAGATAGTATAAATAATGTTTTTGTATGTATCATTTAAAGGCTGAACACAGTGGCGCATACTCATGTGAAGCTATCAACAATAAGGGTGCCACTTTTGCAGTACCAGACGCCATTGTTTTCGTCGAAAAAAATAGTGTCTGTCCAAAAGGATACTTCAACAGGTAAGCGATAATGAATAAGTGAAATTAGTTTGCATTTAACTTGAAAATTACATTTATCCTGAGCAATCTTGTACTGATGATGTTGTAGTTTAGTAATTTGATGTATTTACTTGCAGAGACGCTAACTCCTCATCCGACTGCATACCTTGCTTCTGCTTCGGTAAAACGGATCAATGCGACAGTGCCCAGCTTTACATCTATAACATGGCATCTATGTTGGGAGAAGGTGGCACAAGACTCGTGGGCGTTACCTATGGACCGAATGAAGAACTCGTAATTGACCCCCCTGATAGACAAGCGATTACCAATAAATATGATTACCAACCTTTGAGAAATGGCGCTACGGTATGATTTTGTTGTTAGCCATATCCGTATTTATACCCGCATCCGTATTCGTATCCCTGGCCGTATATGTATCTATTAATACCTATTCATATCCAATGTATTATACAATATACACCATTATAAAAAAATATATTATTTTATATATATATTATATATAAAAAATATATTATTACATTTTTTTTTATAAATGTGCAGGTCACGAGGTTGGAAATCTACGGTCTTGATCCTGAACGGCACTTACCAAGAATGTACCCGTATTTGACTTTGCCGGCATCATATAATGATAACCAACTCACATCCTATGGTGGTCACATCAGTTACCAATTGGCTTCGCATTCGTATGGTATAGGTTCCGACACCGCCATGCCTGATATCATCATAAAAGTAAGTTATAGTAACATTTATATGTTCTCATTATCTCTCATCCTTCTGTGTTTATACTTTATACCACCGTCGCACAAATTATACAGTTCGTTTACGCCGAAAATATTTCCAGCGTACGTACAAATAATTGATTGCATATAATATTCATCACTTATACAAGCTTATACAAGAAGAACAACACGAATATCACGTTCTCGCTGACATACGGGCTGACAACTTTCCGGAGTATTAAGATGTCATGCGTCCATACCTTGTAATTTCACTGTCTCATTTTTCGAGTGACTAGATGGCTGAAAATGATGTGACACACGTACACCTCTACCTAAGTCTACTCTGATAGCGATAGCTTGTCGACAAAGAATATTTAAATTTTACTCAGTATATTTATAGTAAATATTCTTAAATATAAAACTAACGCTTATATCAAATATTACTTTGATGTAAAAAATCATCTCCCCTCTCGACTTAGACTAGACATCTGGTAGCTCAAATAAATGAATATCAATGTCCTAAATACAAAAAATGGTGTTAATATATCTGTAATATGTATTTATATCTATATAACTTTGTGTTACCCGTGACCTACGCGTGGTAACGCATGAGGGGTATCATGGATGTCATATGATAATGTGATGCTTGTGGTCCCATTCATATTATCGTTTACAATCAAGGTCGTTAGCTTGTTTTCAATTCCAATTACATAAAAAAAACTATATGCAGTCGCATAAAATTTCATTAAATTGCGTTCAAACACCTAAATTAATTTTAATATTGATGCCATTTCCTTATTATTACAGGGAAAATATGGAACGCTCTTGTACTATCAAAACGGACAGAAGTCGCTTATCCAAGCGCAGTTTGTACCTGGTGCTTGGCAGAAGACCACAAACAGAGGCCGGGAGCCAGCCTACCGAGAAGACATAATGCTAGCGTAAGTATTACATACACATTCAGCAATATCGATATTATGATCTAATTAAATTTCTATAGTGATTATGAGGATAATGTATAGTCAAAGTATTTTAATACGTGATGTACAGGCAAACTGAAGTGGTCAATATGCTCTATTACCAGTAACAAAACCATACAGCTGAGAGCTTGGTAGATTCTTGCCTCCTCTATTATTAAAATATAAAAAAAACTTGGTGAGAGTGTCAAGCGGTGACAGATTTTAAAGATGGTATTCATTTTTCTCTAATTCATATGAGTTTTGATAATGTTAATAAAACATCATCATTTGATATAAAACATCAACATTTTGTCATTTGATAACTATAATAAAACTTTCTTATACTATGTAATATTATGTTATCTGTGCTTATACGCAACTTCGGCCCGTCTACTTTATTTAGATGATATGAACTGAAAAGTTATTCTTGATAGTCCCTCTCCATTTACCTGATATTCATTTCAATTATAAAATCCGTTCAGCGATTTATTCGTAAAAAGCTAATTTGTATTCATTATTGCAGCTTGGATCAAGTTGAGATGATCTTACTACGCGCCGATATAGACAATGCTGGTGTGAATATAACGAATTTCGTGATGGAATCTGCTCAGTTTATCAACGCAGGACTCGGTAATGCAAACCTTGTGGAAGAATGCAAATGTCCGCCAGGATACGATGGCCTCTCATGCCAGGTAACCGACACTTATTTTTAATAAGTTTCCGCAGTTTTCCATGTAATTAAAAGCTACTACTAATACTACATAATAAATTTCATCCTTTCAGAATTGTGCCGCCGGCTACGAATCAAACCAACTAGTGGGACCTCTGCTCAGCAGTTGCGAGCCAGAACGGAAGGTCTGTCCGGAAGGCACTTATGGAGACCCTGCTAATGGCTTCGCATGTACCCCGTGCCCTTGCCCATCAACTTCTCCTTCGAACCAGTTTGCTACCTCATGCTACATTGGATCCAGCGGCAGAGTGATCTGCAACTGCTTTAAAGGGTATATATTTTACCATACTTTTTAAATAAAATATGAAGTGTAATATCTAATAATATAATATAACTACGTTTTTTAGGTGTAAATGTGTGCGTTGGCATATATGTATCTTTTTGTACCTATTTATGATTATCCTGCGTAATAATTAAATCTTACACACATTTTACTTAATGGATTTATATTATTCTGTTTAATTCCTCTACCAATAAATGAATTAGGTTTTTCGAATTTTAATGTTCAATTAGTGTGTCAATTACCGAAAGAGAGTGGTCGCCCTCTGCAGTGTTCTGTATTATTATTACTTTTTAATTGTATTATAACCATTTATATATTGTACCAATTTATAATTTTAGACAATTAAAATTATTACATTGTTGTCATTATAGTGTTATAAAAAAACTTACAAATAGACAGAAAGCTAAATGCCATAACTTTTACTCTTACTATTTCTTTTTAATTTTTCTTTTTAACATGTATTTTGTATCTTTTTTCAGCTACGAAGGTGAAAACTGTGATCGGTGTGCGAGCGGCTATGAAGGTAACCCACATATACCTGGTGACTACTGTAAAATCGTCAAAAAAACTAACTGCAATCCAGTGGGAACTAGACAAGTTCGATTACTCGACGAATGCGATTGCAAGGATAACGTGGAAGGAAGATATTGCGACCGCTGCAAGGCTGAGAGTTTCTACCTCTCAGCAGATTTCAGGTATTATTGACACTCATGTCCTCATTTCGAATGATAAATTTGTGTATCTGTATTCGTTAATTTGATTGTACAGCTTCTAGAAACTCCACATAATATTAACGACATTTAAACGATAAAAGTTGGCTGTGGGTCTCCTTCTTTTTAAAACACCATAAATAACTCAGTATACACATTTAATTTTTATATCGTTTACTGGGACAATAAATTACTTTATTTCTGAACAAAATTGGTAGACAGGTCGTGCCCGATTCTTATAGGCTAAAAACCCCAAGGTGTTCCTTCTCTTAACATCATGCCAGACTAACGATAATGCGCGATCATTTTCCGCAACCCCGACGGCAGACTCGTATGCTTAAGTTCCTTTACAATTGCTAACTATTTTTATTTGTACAGACATGGCTGCGCATCCTGTTTCTGTTCCGGAGTGACTCAAACATGTACAAGTACTAACTTCCGCCGGAAGACAACCCATGTGGCTTTCAATACTCCAGACGTCGTCCGACAACTGAAGACTTATAGCAGTACAGCATCAGGCTCATCAACAAGATACAGCGTTCCAGTAGTAGCTGATCTTCTTGTAACTGCAGGGAGATATGGTGCGGTATCTGTCGCAGAAGCTGGTTCTCAACCAACCGTTTACTATTGGAGTTTGCCGATCAGGTATAATATTTAAATTATACCTGGCTCTTATCAGACAGGGTTGGAATTTGAGGGGGCAGTAAGACGAAAGCCAGTAATGTTATTTATGAAAATGAAATTTTATTCAATAAGGCGTGAAATTTAAATATATTATTTTTTAACCACTATAGTAGCAAAATATTCGGTCAATTTTTCAATTAATCGATCAATTTAGTACAACAAGTGCAAAATATACTTACGGATCACTTCAACATTATTTTTAAGTGAATTAATCTACCTGGTATTCTAATTTCGTAAGTTGTTTTATAAAACGCAATTTTTTTTACAGTTTTGCTGGAGACAAGGTGACATCATACGGTGGTTACCTGCAGTACACTTTAAGGAATGTACCACCCATCGATGGTGGAAGTCTCAGTGATAAAGCAGCTGATGTGCAACTGATAAGCGTGAGTTAAAACTCTTTAGAAACTACGAAAACAATAGTCCATACAATGAGTATTATATATAAATAGAATAAATAACATTAAATTAGAGTTCCGAACCAATACCATAAAATAGAGCATTTCTGATGCAACTATTTTCTTGTCCTTGTGAAAATATTTTTTTAACTTTTACTCTACCGAAATAGAAGCTCGAGGTTTATTATTTAATTGAGCTATAAATTAATTGAGCTATAATATCATAGGGTTAATTTTTACATTTTAAAATCAATTGCTGTAATCAAACGTAGTTTATAAATGAAATTGTAAAATGTAATTGGTTTTTACGCTATAAGTATTTTTTTATTCTCCGCCTCTACGCCTTGCCTTCGCCTTGTATCCCAAACTTCTGAAGTGAAGAATATAATATAATCAATTTTGTATTTTTTTTACAGGACAACCGGCTGACATTCCACTACTTTGCAGAAGCAAAACCAACCAACGATGGCACCTTGGAGGTGAGAGTACAGTTCTTCGAAAACAAATGGCAAAGGTGAGCTTTTATTTAATCCGTAATTTTATACTGTTGTAAACATAGTTTATAACGAAAGCAGTTTGGTGGCTAAAATAGGTGAAACTAGAAGATGACCTGGTGAAGATACCTACGCACACAACTATAGAATTTTAACATCAGGCTGAAGTTACTTATGTTTTTCATAGAACCAATGAAAAACATTTATTTGAATAATAAAATATCAGAACTATTCCTAGTCCCAAGCTAAGCAGAGCTTGAGTTATGATAACTAAATATAATATAACAACTGATAACTGAACACATTTATTTTTGTATATACATACTATAATATATATTAAAACACTCAACTAGATACAAACAATCATACTCATGAATACAAATGTTCTATACAGAACCGATAGCAAAGAAGTGCCGAGGGAACAATTCCTGCTCGCACTGGCTGACGTGAAAACAATCCTAATCAAAGCGACTTACAACGACGAACGTGAGCTGGCTGTCATCACAAGTGCTAGTATAGAGACCGCGGAGCCAGGAGGCACCGGCCCCGTAGCTGTGCATGTGGAGGAATGCAGATGTCCTGAAGGATACATCGGAACCTCTTGTGAAGACTGCGCCCCTGGTTACAAAAGGTAAGCGATAGTATTCGATTAAATTTTTTTGTGACATTCAGTTGCTGCCTTTACACTTACGCTCTGTTACGTGCGAATAGGTTTTCTCGCAGAATAGAACATGTATGTCAGTATAGACAAAGAAAACAATAATCGCTGCGCAATCCGCCAACTTGCGCGTTCCTCGTGCGTGCTTTAGCACCTTTTTGTAATAATTAATTCTCATTATAAAGTTTCGGATAAGAGCAAAGACATAATTATAGAGTTCGATAATTTATAAATCTTAAATGTATCTTTGGACAATATAATATAATAATTAGTGGAGTGAAAAATAAAATTTTATAAGAAATTCAAATGACACGCAACTTACAGCGCTCTTGGGCGCGTAAGAACATGTCGTGTAAGGGCAGCAAATATTTTTCCCTATATTCATACTGTCGTTATCTTAGATGGGGTTATTAATAGGTGCCTATTGCCTAATTCCATTCTGAGTTCTTTTTGTCAGTACTATGTATGAATTAAAACAATAAAAAAATAAAATAAAAGATTTAAAGCTAAAAATATGAGATTCAATGTTAAAAAAGTAATATTGATAGTAATAATAATATATTTATTTTCTCCACAAAAACATTGTAACAGTGCCATTTGGTCATATAACATTTTGTGTTAAAGTACAATTTGGTGTACTAGGTATCCGAAGAATCTCTGTCACGGGTCACTCCGTCCTCCAGGTCCTCCTACTACCTACTTTCTAAGATTTATATCAACGATGAAAAGAGAATATAGAAAGATAATTGAAATATACCCACTCCGCCGCGTCCCCTGTCTTGTTGTATGTAAATATAATAAAAAAATGAAAAAAATTTAAACAGTTTAAGTGTCAAATTTTGTGTTCTAAACTACATCGTAAGTTGACACAGCCTGTAGATACCCCGTGCAGGATAACAGTAGGAAATATATTTTTTGACAGCTTCGGTAGTCGCAGGTTTGATTCCATACACGATACAAATATTTGTATGATTGTTAATATTGCTCTGTGTATTTTCTATGTATGTTATGTATTTATTACAGTAACAAAAAAATGCATCTAAGTATTTATATCCGTTGTCTTGTACCCATAACAAAAGCTAACACAACTCACACAGTCCCAACTAAGCTAACTAAGGGACTGTGTGAGTTGTGTTACGTTTATATTATTATTATTAATAATAATAATTTCAGATACTCACGTGGAATCTACCTGGAATTGTGTAATCGTTGCGACTGCAATGGCCACTCAACAATGTGTGATCCAGACACTGGCGTTTGTCACGTAAGTATACTAATGTTATTGAGATATATAGAAACTCCGAAATAACTTAATTAATTATAAATCTTTACATATTTTTTCTAAATCTATTTTCATAAAAATTACAAGGTACATAGATTAATTATAACCATGCCGAACCAGGGAGACATACATATTTATATCCATACTAATATTATAGATAAAATATTTATTTGTTTACATTGAATTGTCTCCTAAACTATGGTACTCATTGAAAATTTCTGTAACTATTAGAATTCTATGTTATCACTAATGAACCTAGTCGATAGAATATTTTCAAAAAACGTAACAATCCGTATGGAAACTTCGATAATGTAACAACGTGTACAATATATAATTATAGTGTACCTGTGTGTGTTTCTTAAAACTTATTATAGTTGAATACCCGTACGATGCTGGGTGAGCCGCTCCTAAACATGTATTAGAAAAATACTTATAATAAATACATCTTCAAATGTCGGACGTTTAATTTTTTTATAGTTTTTAGCCATTATACTAACTAATACATTAATGATAGTAACGATTTGACCAATCATTTCGATTGCATTTACCATTGCAGCAAGTGCTTGATTGCACAGGGTAAAGAGTGGAATTAAATCGATCCCCTACTACGATGATAAATTTGATTTATAATTATTATTATTTACAGAACTGCCAAGACAATACCGAAGGTGATAACTGTGAAAGGTGTAGATTTGGTTACGAGCGCGATAGTTGGGATAAATGTGTCGCTATAGAAACCCCACCTTCTTGCGTGTGAGTATTCAACATGTTTTCTATGCCACACATAGGAAGTCTAGACTAGTCTAAAAAAAATCACAACAGAGATATATTATAAAATCGTCTGCGTGGAAACCTCAATCTTGCCTGTTTTTGTCTATTTGCTTAAATGTTGAATATTCTGAGGGTATGAAAAATACTCGGTATTGGGACTAGTAAGGTCCTCATTATATGAAGAGTGTACTAGAAGAATGATAAATGAAAAATATAGCAAAAGTTGTGAAGTAACAGGTTTTAGGGTGGACATGTCGGGCGGGGAAATGTAATCTACAATAAGAAAGTATTTTTTTAATGTATCGTAATAGTCTGATACCCGTGTCTGTGCTAATAATATATGCTCGCGAGGCACCAGTGAAGGATGATATGATTAATATGAGGTCAGATGATTGATGTTTGATGTTTTCAGCAAAAACTGCGTGGAAGGACTGAAATGGTACATTGGTAGCAATTCCCTTCGCAGTTAAGAGTAATCAGTATATTATAAATTTACATGAACTTAAAGGAAAGGAAAGATAATAATTATATACTTTTCATTTAGATGCGACAGCCGCGGAATATTAAACCCGTGCGACGAGTATGGTAACTGCCAGTGCAAACGGAATGTGGAAGGTATCGCTTGCGACCAGTGCCGTCGTGGCACTTTCGGATTGGATATTACCAACGTTGATGGCTGCTTAACTTGCTATTGCTCTGGTGTTACAACTGAGTGTCATGAGGTAAAAACTACATTCTTTTTCAGATATCTTATTTACAACTTTAAAAATGTCTGCTGTGAAGTTGTAATACTAAATTCATGGTAGCTTATCTCAAGGGAGTTTGAAGATCAGTTTTATTATCATTTGATGAATGGCAAGACGTATAATAGTTTTATCGTTTCCTGTTATAATTATCTATTTGCGTAAAAAAATCCACATGAAATCTTTACGTATATGGCGATCAGGAAAAACAATCAGTAGGCAGAAACTATAAATATCATTCTATGTTTACAGTTAGAGGCACAATGCAATATAGACGCTGTACATGATAATAGTATTGCTGTTCAAATAATTTATCGACATAATTATTGTACATCTTTTTAGAAAGGCATTTTCAAATAGTGGCGATAGAAAGATCATATATTTTTGCTATTTGTAGTCAATTTAAATCCTGAATAATTGTATACAGATTATACAGGTACTCTCATCAGTTCGTAGTTTATGTATGTGGTAAATATTTAATGCATATGATTTATTGCAGGCCACCAATTACCGTCGCATACCCTTGCCCGCTCCGATAATTGGCGATAACTTTGGAGATTACGTTATCACCAACATAAACGGCGACCGGGAGTTTAATACCAACTTTGTGCCTATGCCCAGGAATAGTGAACTTCGATACAACTTTGAATATCCCCCTACGGAAACCCTTTACTGGTCACTGCCCGTGTTCCCAGGTATAAAAATATTCATTATTCTAAAATATTTAGTTGAAACTTATTGATAATAATAATGACAGACATTGTTTTTTAATCAAACATACACAATACGCGCTACAGACAACCCTTTTTGTCAAGGTTTCGATGTGCAAAAATATTGACACTTAGAATAAACAATCCAAGAGTACATAGTCATGTGCTATCTTCGGAGCAATGAGGTTACTTTGTGAAGTCTTCGACTAGATACCCGAGCGCTTCTATGCTCCTAGATGAACTAGAGCCCAAATAAGAGTCAGCTTTTAAATAAAAAAGAAATTAAATTATTAATTAAAATAAAATATTATATATATAATTAATTAAAATATTTTACTAATATTGAAAAACAAAGTAACGCAACGTGCATCTTGTCATCTGGTGGACCTAACTATGCACCTTTTTTTATTCTACTAGATGGTGTTTACAATGTATATATACCTATTTCTATATACAAACTCAGTTTTATAGGTTCTGGAAATCAGAATCAGAATTTAGGTTAAACCCATGCGACGTAGAATTCAAATAAACTCAGCAACATCACTAATATTAATGCTTCTGACTACCTCCCATCTATAACCGACGAGCAACTATATAAATAAATGCAATTCGCCGATCACATCAAATGTCTATGTAACGATATACATCCTAATTTATAGGTAACAGAATATTGTCATACGGCGGCGTTTTACAATTCGAACAGAAGTTCGAAGATCAGTACAGGGAGCCATCAGGAAGTGCCGACAAGATTGTGGTACTTATTGGTAAAGACATTGCATTATACTGGAACAGTCCATCGCCGATTATAACTGGACAGGTATTTGTATACAACAATTCTAATTATCGTAGATTTAAGAAAAAAATCAATATTTTTAAGACAATAATTTCATGGCAAAAATGTAATAAGACTCATCCGAAGGTCTTAGTATAAGATGTCAGGTGTCAATCACGAAGTCTCGGGTAGAAGCTAGTCAAAATAATGTGTTTGAAAATCTAAACGCACTTATAATTACATGTAACATTTTTTTATAAATTTAAATGTTAATCCATCAGCGAACTGAAGTGGTTCTCCAAGAAGAGGACTGGTACATCCTGAACACCGCGACCCCAGCAAGACGCTTCGACTTTTTGAAAGTACTCCAATCTCTGAGAAGAGTTCTAGTAAAAGCAACATTGACGGAAAATATCGTATCGAGTACAATAGCAGATGTTGCTATGGATGTATCTGAAGCCACAACTGATCCTGCGTACCAACTTGCAAAGTCTGTTGAGGTAAGTGAAAATTGGCATCCTTTTATTAGATTATGCATACAATATATATTGTTATACGTCTCTTCCGTATCAGATTCGTAGTTTTTTTATGTAAATAGAATAGGAATACACTGACGTTCCATCTAATGGAAAGTGGTAACCACTTATTTACCATATATAAAATACACCATATCATATCATTGCTATTTATTTAACTACGTTGATATGCCTACGTACCGTGTAAAGGCGTTCTGCCTATAGGAAAAATCAATTTCAGAAACTTTTTGCTAAAATTTATATAAAAAAAATTGTATAAATTTGTATAAAAAAAATTGTCCAATAAAAAAAGAAAATGTTAGAGGTTGACATCCCTTATCACTTAGGGGTATGAAAAATAGATAGTAGCCGATTCTCAGATCTGCTGAAAATGCATATAAAATTCCATAAAAAGTAGTCATGTGTGACACGAGAATTTTATGTAGGTATAAGAATCCAATTCCTCTTTTATGTTCATTACATTAAAATGATCAAACACAGACCACAACTTTTCAATACATATTACCTACAGCGTCTTTATATCTTAGACTTCTCCAAAATAGTCATTTGAACACATTTTCATCACAATGACAATTATGAAAACAAGGAGGTTTACTACAAGAGTAAACCTCCATGTTTTCATAATTGTCATTGTTTTCATAATTTTCCACAGTTTCTGTAACATCAGGTCAACACAAATCATTATAATTTTGCATTTTTATAGGTTTGCATATGCCCAGATGGGTACACAGGCACTAGTTGCGAAAGTTGCCTACCTGGATACTATAAAGATCACAGGGGTCGCTGCAGCGTTTGCAATTGTAATGGACACAACTGCGAATTGAAATTTAACAATGAGGTTGTATGTTACTGTCGGCCGCCATACACTGGCGTCGACTGTTCCACATTCGGTGAGTTGATCATACGATAACAATATATATTACTCTGGCTATGAGTTTAAATTTCTTTGTAATATTACATAAAAAGAAACTAAAAATATATTGATAGATGCGTTATTTTTTAAATTTGTAATTAAATGTCTAAAGTAGTCTATTACGGATTTGGATTTCTTTAATATATATATTCAATTTTAAAGTGAATAATGAATTAAAATACCACGTGTACTGTGATTTATGTATTATTTAAGAAAATTTTAAGTTTCTTTTCAACATAAAATGTTTGTAACGTTTTATGTTGAAAAGAAACTTAAAAATAAATTAAATAACTATGGTAAATTATTATTGTATATTTGTATGAGTAAATGACGTTGCCAAACTTCAGCATAAAACTATAGTACCTACATTTTATTTATTGTGGTTTATATTAACTATTATTAAATCCTGATTTTTTATACCTAATCTTGCCATAAATATTGTAACAAGGAAAAATCTTTACTTTTCTATTGCATATAACACTTATTACTTCTTCATAGATAACATCACTGAAGTGGAATAATGTCCACATTGTATGCTCTGTTGACTACAAAACAAAATTATCTCATCCGTAAAATAAAATTGCGTACTGGTTAAGTAGTAATGTGGATTTTACAATCCTATTCTTTTTAAATTATTTAAATTATCAGTATTTATTAAGTAATTAATTACACTTATAATAGGCTGCAAGTCCTAAGTCAAAATTCGCAACTTAGTTCTAAGGGCTATCTTCACTCGCGAGATAAAATATTTTCCTATCTGACAGACTTTGTCCGAATTCTTTCCCTTACTGCTTTGATTGGTTACGAAAACTACGTGGACGGCCTGGTCTTTTGTGTCACAAACAGAGGTGGTTTCAATGTACCCATCAATAGCACGGTACACAAAAATTAGCCTAATACTAAGCCAAATGGAGAATTAAAAAACTGTATTCGGATCCTTAACTACTTTGTGTAATGCAATCGCGATTCGGTTCTTTATGACTTCAATTCATATTAATATCACAAAAATAATTGACAACCGATTGGCGCGAAGAAATACGAAATACGAGAATAAGAAAACATTTGAATTTAGAATTTAGAAATATTCTAAATTCTAAATTCAAAAGTAATATTTTGTTTATTTTTAATTGTAACAGTATTTATGGGCAGATTATGTAGGTATTTTACTTATAAAGTTTGTTGTTATGCTCAAAATTGCTCTAAAATTATGAATATTACAAGGAAATTTTAAATAAGTTTTAGTCAGTAACGATACTTATAATACTTTTCTTATTCATTATTTTTTATATCTATCTATCAAGTGATTTTTTATACTATAAACAATTCAGTACCGTATAATATCTACAAATATTACTAACATTCAAACGCTATTTAAAAAATTAAAGCTACAAAATACTGTATTGTATTAAAATGTATAATTTTACTATTCCTGAAATGTATAATTTAAGTACTGGTCGTATTTATTACCTAAAAATGTATTCTTCTTGCAATGTAATAATCAACTATCGCATTTTTATTGTACTAGTGATTGGGATTTATTTAACGTTATTGCAATATAGTTGGTTCAATCTAATTAAATTAAGAATTAACATTAACAAGGCATATACTTAAGGAATTCTATGGAATACTTACTCATTTTCTTACTTATACTTCTTTATTGTATTATATCTTGATGTCCTTACTACTTTTTAAAAATGATAACATCTTTCTACAAAATCGTCAACTTTCAAATAATTGCTAAGTGATAAATAAGTCATAGTCATTACCAACGTAACGTGCTGATGGCAGACAGAACTGTTCATAAACGATATTTTTTTAATAACAATAGGGCTGCTAATGGAATTGAATCCAACAATAGAGGAAGATATTTATCCTAATGAAAAATACAAAAGAATAACACTTCACTGCAAGTATACAGGGCCCGAACCCTTAATACTGCAGTTCTTTAAAGACCGGAAACCAATCAATCCTCCCAATTTTGAGTGGACTCCTTACCAAAACGCCTGGCGCGGAGATCATACCTGGCATACTATTTGGGATACAACAAAAGAAGAGATATATGAATGTCGCGCGATAACGCAAAAGGGTGTCACAGTGGGATTGTTGACCACCAGTTTGCCGGAGCCAGGTAGCCGCTGTTGAGGCGTCCAGCTATATCTACTTGTTTCAGTAATCCCATAATGCTTTGAATGATCAGCTCCCTCTTATTTCAGTTTCGCACAAAACTACAAATCCATATGACCATTCATTTTGTTAGATATATCATTTTATAATTTGGACGACCTTGCTGAATATATTCAGTTTTTTTTTTTGCGTCTTCCATTTCCGGTTATTGTTTTTTTATTATGGTAGAGTTTCATCACTGTGGGTCGTCCGGTATCTACTTAATACACATATCACATAATGTTATCTGAATTGATAGTACTTCCGTTCGCCCCACAGAAGAGAAACTATTGTTACTCCATAAAACAAGGTCCCAAATATATTTTTCGGTGGTGGGTTTACTGAAGGAATACTTCAGTACTGGTGTTTCAGATGAATTCATATTATAGGTTTTATCTTCTTCTACGAGGATCGGAAAATTTAGTATTCAATACGGTTGTAACTGTTACTTTTACATTCTTATCATATATGCTAAATAAAATGCGGCCTAACTATTGTACACTTGTAGTTATTTCGAAAAGACGTAGTTAATAAGTATGGCAATGGGTACAAACTCTAATAATTGTCACGAAATATATAATATCACTAGATATACCCTCCATGTATTGCAATTCCCAAGGACCAAAGTGTTCTGATTTCGTATCCTGTATATTAAAGATGAATCAGATAACGGATACCCATATACCATGTGCCCTTTTTTAAAATTTTTAATCAATTAAAAAAAGATATACACACTATCATGTCTTTGACACTATAACCCTAATAATTGTTCAAATTTATAATTAATTATGGTCGAATTTAGAATATTGGGCTACCACTAATATATACTACACAAAAAGTTTACAAGAACTTATGTATCACATCTACATACTAGTACCGATCTTTCGTCAGGAAAAGGTATCCCCTTAGACGACTTTGTACAGTGTTCCAGTTATTATTCATTTTCAATGATAACACTGTCACTTTGTACCGATTCCGTATAAAACATCCCGTCTTTTGAATTTTCTGATCCTCAAAACTCTTTTCTATTTCATAGCTTTGTCTGTCCCAATAAAAGGTGTTGTCATAGAATTATAAGGATTGTGGATGTCTAGGGAATTGGTAATCTGTGTGATATTCATAAATATTGTTTGTGATATGATCGTTGCAACGATGTATTATGTTTATTCGTATATAATGTTATAATGTATTATGTATGTGTATTTATATTTCTTGTTATGCTTGCGTATTTCCGTCCAGTTGAATTTTATGTGATTGCTCTGGAACAGATTGTAAATGTAAAACTTGGTCGTACTATCCGGTACAACGGTAGGTATTCTAATTGGCTTTATCTGCACTGTTTCAGATAAACAAAACAACCACAAACTACTAACGTACTAATATCAATTAATATTATAAAATATTTAAAATTATTTTTTATATATATACTCAAAAATACTTAACCGATTTTAAAAATCTTTCAATTGCTAAATGGCCTTAGATTGGGGTTTCGATTCCTGCCGTGCAACATGCATTTGTATTCTTGAGTATGGTTGTTTGTTTTGGTCTGGGAGTTTTCTATGTTATCTTGTTTGTATTTACATAAAAAATGTATTAAAGTAATTCTAACAGTTGCTTAGTACCTACCCGTAATACTGGTGGACTGCTTAGCCTGGTATTATATATATATATATACTGTGTGTATCTGTGTGAATTGTCCAAAGTTATTAATGGTATACTTTTAGAAAGATTCATTAATAACCAATAATATAAATTAATGCTAATATATTCCGATCTTTTGTGTTTTTATTATATTTACGACCGTAAGACAGACTACACTGTATCGCTAGAAACAGGTGTCCATAATAAAATCCATAATGATGCAAAATTACTATTATAATACTACATAGATACTATTGTTGCACCGGATGACTTGTTGAATACTTTTCTCTATTTTAATTTAATTCCAAACATAAAAAGGTCTTGGGCACCCGTTGAATTTATTGTTTTTTTTATAACATTTGCTGTTGTTATGCAATAAAGTCAATCGGTCCTGGTAAAATGTATTCGATTCTTTTAAAAATAACTAAAAGACTAAGTCAGAATAGGCAATATTCTTGTCATGCCTGCTGGTAGCAGGTACAGGCATGCTAGTGCATGCGTGTACAGGCTTCGGTAATCTATACTTGAATGTTACCTACACATGCACAACAATTTTTATACTAATGCCAAATATTTATTTTAGTACAACAATCAGACACACAAACAAAGCCGCCGACCAGACCGCCTCCCTCTTCTTCTACCCTGGTAGTGACTATAACATCTCCCACAATCTGGATTAAGGACGTCGGTAGCACAGTAAACTTTACTTGTCAAGCACATAGCCGAATTACACGCAATAGATTCCCCATTACCTGGACGAAGGCAGGAGGATCCCTGCCCTATGGTAGAAGTTTCGTTGACCCTGACAGTGGTGTTCTTTTGATTCGTGACTTGCAATATTCTGACTCTGGGAAATACATTTGTGAAACGAGGGATGGTATATCGACGGCACAGGCTATAGCCAGTCTAACTGTTGGCGGTAAGTAATTATACTTAAAATATGTGACATAGAAGCAAAAATTAAACGTATTTTTTTTTATAACTAGAATGAACGAACTAGCTTACTCGATGGTAATTGGTAACCATCCTCTATACATATATGGTGTTCATACCATTGCAAACTTCATATTATCATGTGGCTCCCTCACGCATTAACATTCCGAAGGGCTAACGTGTGTCTTTGCCACTCTTTAACTGAAACATTGTTTACATAGTAAGCTGCTTAGCAGTTAAAAAACATGCCGCAGTCCAACGAAATTTCCAAGACACACATAGATGCAACCAGAATCTAGTCTAAACATAAAAGCAATTTCGTTATTTTTAGTAGCATTATTTTGGTTAATCAGCGTTAATTATTAATATAACTAATAACATTATAATATTTTTATGCGATCATTATCGGAATAGCTCTGCCGGGTCATGTCTTTTTTGCTAAAGGTAATGAAAAATTATATTTATTTTTCTATATATTATATTTCTTAATGATGTATACGTAATTATATCTGTGTAGTAACAGTAAGAAAAAACATTTATTCAGTGTTTTTTAGTTATATATATATTAATAAAGACTTTCGGCTTGTCTTGTGTAAGTACTGAAAATAAATAAATACAATGTTATTTTTACACAGTAAACGAACGAACAGTACCCGTCGTGACAATAGTATCAGCAGTACAAGACTACATAGAAGGCGAAACCATAGAGTTAGAATGTAGAGCGTCAGGCAATCCTGCACCTACGTTAAATTGGCGCCGAGCCAATACCCAACCACTACCACAGAATGCGCAAGTCCAAGATGGATTGTTGATCATCGAACAGTCTCGTAGGATTGACTCTGGGGAATACAGGTACTAATTTATATAATATATTATACTATCGTTTACCCGAAAATGCGTTTGTACAACAATTTACATATACCGGACGTAAGATATAACTATTATTTAGCAACAAGAACACTCACTTTAAATATGATATATTAAAGTTTTTTTTCTAAAATCAATGTGCCCAATATAACAGCCTATCACAATAGATACGCCGTTGTCCTTTCTTGTAACTCAGTCTATTTTCATATTAAATTTCATTAAAATTTGTTCAGTCGATCAACTGATCGACTGAACAAACTGATATTCGAAAGTGTATCAACTGATACACTTTCGAATATCAGTTTGATACCTTTACAGCGAAAGGTTTTTTTGTTGATATCATAGTGAACGCAACTCTGACCATGCTCACCTTTCGCTGTGTATTAAATATGAAAAGATATTTACAATTCGTAGTGTAATTTTAGATAACAAATGCTGGTTTGTATATTGTTATACATTATGTGTATGCTATAGATGCACTGCAACAAACACCGAGGGCTCTGACGACCGCATCGCTGTAGTTAATGTACGACCCGTACCGCACAGACCGGCGCAGGAGACGTTAATTGTATCAAATCAATCTCCCACCATTGACGAAGGCCAAAGCACCCAGATTACGTGCACAGGCACCCCGTCTGTCCGTCCGGAGACTATACAATGGATCAGGTAAATAGAAAATCACTCGACATGACCAATCCTGTAATATAGTCATCAGATTATATTAGCAAGTCAAGTCGGTCAAAAAACAAGTGAATGTTAATGTAACAGAGAGACAAACTTCTTAGCATTCCATGAATTCATCGTGCCGAGCAGTTCCCGGGACATGCCACTCGACCATATGTTGAAGTGAAGTGAGTGAAGACGTAAAACTGCAAAGGGCCCCCTTTGCAGACTTACGTTATCACTGACTTACTATGCCATAAAAAAAATTACAAACCAACACCAATCTAAGTCAAATTTTATTCAATTCATTTTCATACAAAATATAACTATTGCCTTCACGTCTGTTATTTCCGATAGGATAGTTAGAGGCATTGCCAACTGTTGACGTATCGTTGTGAATGCAATATTTAATATCCAACGTGCTCAAGGCCAATCCTTATTACTTCTTTAAATAGTTTAGCTAATTTATCGGTGTTTTCATCACCGGGTACACAGTTATTATAAATATATATATACCTAAAGTTTTCTTGTCAGCGTGATATAAACTCAAGACGATTCGATCTAAGTCGGGGTAGCAAATCACAACAACGCTCTGATTGTAATATACACACTGTTTGCAGGCAAGACGGCACCGACTTTTATCCGAACGTAGTCTCCTCCAACGGAGTTCTTCAAGTCAACGAAGCTGTCCTAGAAAACCAGGGGGTCTACATATGCCAATCCTCGGACAGAAACGTAATACCCGGGACGAGTGTGCTGACTGTAGTACCGCTATACTCGCCCCCACCATCGGAGACTGTTAACATTACCACCTCACTGGACAGATTGATAATACCTACCGGAGATTCTAACTCTGTAGAATGCTTCCCACATGGCGACCCACTTCCATTAATCAGATGGAAGAAGGTAAGTTAAGTATTTAGTATTGTTGGTTCTAGAAAATTAGCATATAAGAAGACAATCCGTCTTCTGGCGTGATGTGTTCGCCGCAGTTAACACCAGGGTTATCACAACTACGTCAAGTATTCAGCAATTAATAGTATCGTTATAACAATACTACTTAAATTCTCTATATGACTTATAAATCGTATGTACAACTGCTGCTTGGCACACTACTACATGTTTTTTACTTACTGACTGAGTCTGGAACTCTAGAATAATGTTGCGAAGGAGCTCAGAGCTCAATGGAGAGAGCTCGAGGATGTTTATGCCAAAAGGAATACTGAATTGGAAAAAGAGGCTTTATTATTGTTATATGTACATGTTTTTTATAACTGTTGTATATGTAAAGACTGTGTATTTTTTACACACAAAAACTACTAATTCTTCTACCAAAGATAGCTAGTCTTTGGCAGAAGCATCTTTGAACATCAAGCATCTCTGTCTCAAATATTCCATTCGCCACGCAATTTGTTTTATGATTTTCAGTCGAGAAAATGCAGTGAAATTTTAGAACACAAAGCATGAGATCTTAGTCCTACGGAATAGCAACGCAAGATTGGCCAAGGTCGCCATTTCATCACGTTTATATGTGTACTACTTATATATTTCGTATAATATTTTGGTTACAGTATCAAGGAGAATTCGGCCCTGGAACTAGTCAACGCGGTAACATATTATTCATCACGAATGCCCAGGAAGGCGACAAAGATTTTTACGTCTGCGAGGCCATCGTAGATAATGAAGTTGTTGCTTCTATCTATGTCTATGTAGAGATTGAAAGTAAGTATACATTTTGAGGTTGTAGAGTATAACTTTGTGTAATTTTTTTTCGATCATAGAACTATTTTACCCTCACTGTCTTAGCTGTAATATAGTGTTATACTCCGTGAGTAATCAATCACGAAGCTCCACACTGAGGTATTCACTACTTAATTGAACTAGTATGTGTGTACTAAGATACAGATAAAATTTTCATCTATCTAATATTTTTCATCGATATAATACTTGAATATTAAATTTGAAAATAGTGTACAAGCACATTTGAAAATTATAATACCGCACTTTCTTGTTAGTTTTCCTTAGCTTGAAAGCACTCCAAACTGACGGCTGATTTGACATATCATAAGAGTTTATAATAGAGCTATATGACTAAAGATATTTAATTTTATTTGATTAATAGTTATAAATAATTATTGTTCTGAATACGAAGGTGGCAGACTTAGCGTATATGTATTTTTTTTATCAGAACGGGAACCGCCAAAAGTATCGATATGGCCACAAGACTCAAACTTAGTAACCATTGGGACAACGTTCCAATTGTCATGCCAAGTTTTAGGCGGATTGCCAGACCCTGATATCGTGTGGAGCAGAGAAGGAGGCCAGCCGTTGTCCACCAGAACACATATCCGGCCACACAATATTTTGGAGTACGTATTTCACTAATGAAACTAACGGCTATATACTCTATAAACAATACATGAAAATCACCACGTGCTTGATGATGTTAATATACAAGACTGTAGACACTTTATAAAAAATCTATAAAAATCATCTATGATATTACTGTTTGTTATCGATGTGTTGTTTACATACCAGATCATAAGTTGAGCAGAGCGCGTTTATTCTTAAAAACTTGACCTTGACCGATCGGAATGAAACCGAGTGGTAAATGATGGAGGCCCATAGGCCGACCTCTGATGAAGCCGGTCAAGCCGTTTTGGAGGAGTATCGTTACAAAGAGTGCAAATCTGATCTCTAAGATCGCTGCGCGCTTCGCGCTGTTCTAATTTTCACTACTAAACGCTTGAATGGATCTTATACAAATTTGATTGAAGAAATATTGTGTTATGAGGACGGTTATCTTTTATCGCAAAATAACAAATGAAGTCGCGGATAATGGCTAACGTAGAATTAAACAATAGATAATATTTAATTAAATAAAATTATTTTCAGATTCGAAGAAGTCGACGTCAATGACGAAGGTGCTTACACTTGCACAGCATCCAATACTGCAGGAATAGATCATGCGACGGCTAAGGTCATGGTACAGTCTTTTCCGAGCATCTCAATAAAACCGGATAACTACAACATGATTGGCAGGGGACAGTCCTTAGATGTGGTGTGTAGAGGAAATGGTTATCCATTGCCTGAAGTCACTATTACAGGTGAATATATAATATACTTCCGTACAGTTTCCTACTACTATTATAAACTGTAAAATTTTATTCAATAGTATGAAAGAACATAAGCGTATATCTATTAGTAGTAGCTCGTACATTGCCATATTCTAAACAAATATTAGTATCCCATAATGAACCAAAATGTTGCTTTGTCAAGTGGGGTTTACTTGAAACTTATCGCTTCAAAATCCATTGCGTAGTTTTAAAGATTTAAGCATACAGAGGTATGAGGTATACCTCATACCTCTGTATGCTATGTAATAATAACAATAACTATATTATATAGCTACCTTTGGAGACACTAGTTATACGCCTGCCACTACCTTGATGGTAATCTTTTTGCAGATAAGGACTCTAGAAATGTTGGGCAAAACCTGCAGTCTGGTGTGGTAGCACTGAAAATTATCTCGGCTACCGACAGTGATGACGGCCAATACGTATGCCGGGCCTCCTCTACTGCTGGTACCGTCGAAGATACCATCGTCATCGTGATCGATAGAGGCGACATAGGCGGTGGCGAAGGTACTTCATTTACCATTGAATATCTATTATGATAATGCATATATATTTCTTTTTATAGTATAAGGAAAAATGATCCTGTAGCTCACTTGATGGTAACTGATTACCGTCGGCTCAAAGCAGGTGCTCTGTAGGCACAACACATCGAATATTTATCAATTATCGTTTTCTTTTCATAAATAACCCCAGACGTTTTACTCGGCGCTATATAATCCTAAACTAAGCAGAGATTGTGCTGTGGATAATAGACAAGTAATAATAATTCTTAAAAAAGATATTATAAATGTAGTATAGAATGTAATAGAAGAATCACCCATAACAATACAAACAGCAAGTGAGTATGTCACTCATGAATATAAATATTTATTGTGCGTGATAGAACCATTGTGCGTCGAAAGAAATGCAATGTTAAACCGCTAAACTGTCGAGGTCATTGATATTGTTATTGCAATGAAGTTGTAAGAAGGGAATACGGCGTCAAGAAAGTTAGAATTCTTGATTGAGTATTACACTCTAGACCACATCCATACTTGCATTATGTCTTTAGTTGCACAAAAACACAGTATCTATGAAATTTCTAACTTTATAATTAATTTGATCTCACAGGCAGCGGTTATGATCCCGGAGAGGACATAGATTCAGGATCAAGCCCGGTCACTGTGCTTGAAGGATCAAACACTTTAATCAGGTAATAAAACTCTATTTTATAATTTACTAGATGTACCCGCGGTTTCATCCGCGTTAAATTTCAATAAAGAATATAGCCTAAGTGTTATTCTGATGTATAAGCTATATTATTGTAAAGTTTCATTAAAATCCTTTCAGTAGTTTTTGCGTGTAACAGTATCTAACAACCATACTTACAAACTTTCGCATTTATAATGTTAATTAATAAATATAAAGATAAGTGTTCATTATCCGTCTCCCGAATGTTTAGTTTGTTACCGATGTTCCCTTCATTCGTAGAGTCAGAAATTTAATTTTGAAAGTATTCTTCTAGTGTCGTGATTTAAACTCACGTTCTTCAAGTCAACTATTAGGCTCAGCTATATGAATACAGATGTTTTAAATCGATATTTCGTGTTTAGATGCGAATCTGATGGCTATGCTGACACTGAGTGGAGAAGAAGTAGTGGGAGGCCTTTACAAGAGAACGCACATCAAACAGGATTAGATTTAAGAATTACTAATGTAAGTATTAAAAGATTTATTTGCTACTGAATAGTTGAAACTTTCGACGTTATATCTAATTCTAGAAGTAGAATATTTATTAATTTTGTAATATGTCCTTCACGACTGTAACTGCGAATATTGTAAACAGTCGTAAACGCAATACTTGACGTGCCCACATTTTATCTAAAAGTATTTGAATGGAGATTATGTTATAATCTCCTTTTACGTTACATTCAATTATTACTTTATTATACCTTAACATCTTGTGGCGAGAGATGTACTAAATTTTGTTTTTTTAACAGATATCTAGAAACGACGCCGGTTACTACGAATGTGTCTTATTGGACGGAGACAGAGAGGTAGGGTCCAAATACCAGGAATTGGTTGTGGTGGCAGCGCCAAGGATCACGCTCAGGCCGCAGAGTCAAACCGCTCGTCCTGGTGATACCATCGTTGTGGATTGTATCGTTGATGGTGATGACATACAAGAAACCACCTGGGTCCCTTCAAAGAAGTGGAGGTAACTTTTAAAGTACTACCGAATTACTTAATTGTAATAGTACTGCATAATTCACGCAGCTCCGTCTGGTGACGAATTGTAATATTTCCTTTGGAAAGTTTACACTTTATCCTAGAGCAGATAAAACTATCGCTCCTAAGAATATCCTTCAATTTTTGTCCCTGAACTCTGAAAAAGGGCGAACACAATAGATCTATGTACGTCGCAGTGCTACAGGTCCAAACACCTAACAATAGCCCAAACCCCCAATAAAATAAATAGCTTCATTGAGTTTGCTAACAGAGGAAAAATAATAGCCTAAATTGACTCGGCTAAGAATCTGTTTTGCTAGATGCAGTATGTAGATGAAAAGATTTCGTAGATACGAAAGATAAGTAGGTATCGATCTGCTCGATGTCTTGTAAGAGAGGTACCGACAATATTTTGAATACCATTGAATAAAATTTAAGGTACTAATGATCTCGACGTTGTAGAAGTATCTTGGCACTGCTTTGTGGCATAACTATTGTCTTCTAACGTCTTAATATCAATTATTGTACGGATATCGTCTATGGCCATATTTTTATGTTTACCTGCGGCTGGAATACTGCAAAGAAATAGACTCTAAAACATACATTATTTTTACAGTGATCGTGTCGAAGTTCGCACATCTCAACTGATATTCAACCAGATCGAGGTAGAAGACGCCGGAGAGTACTACTGTTTTACCCGAAACTCCGTTGCAAATGTTACAAAAACAGCTCAAGTCTTCGTAAGCGGTATGTTTGTACCTTTATTCTTCTAATTAGTAATAGTATTTGGTACAAATGAAGCACGTAGTAATAAAACAAGCACATGTTACTTGAAAGACAAGCTTCATGACACAACTGTATAGGTTGAACTTATTAAAGCCACAGTATATGCAACAAGCAGTATCTCAATTCTACGATTTTATAAATTAATATATATATAAAGATAAACCGTTACAGATCAATGACATCTAGTGGAAAGTGATCTTAAAATTTTCTGTCACTATTAGCAGTGTTTATGTAGTGTCCATATATAATATACTGTAATAGGTGAAAAATAATAGACAACCTAGATACGTTTGATTCTATTATAAACTTACGTCTGCCCTCACTGCCTAAAACACTACTATATAGCACCACCTTGTGTAAGATAATAATTTCCTTAAAATGATTAAGGTGTGTGTCACCACCGCTTGTTGCGTACACTATGTCCAAGGCATCTGTCTAATTTGCAATTCACTTAGATATGCTATATGAATGTGTATGATATACAATTACAGTAAATATGTAATCACAAAAACTGCTATGCTTAACAATTTCTTTTACTGGTATACTTGATTTTCCCTTGACTGCATGTTGATAACCGTCCATAGAAGACAGCGATCGCATGTCGAAGGTGTCTCGCGATATAGAGCAATATGGCCGTGTGGGTGACTCCATAACAATAAAGAGCTGTGGCGCAAGACACCAGAAAGTCTTTGTGCAATGGACTAAGGATGGGAGTGCACTTCCGAAATCTGTAAAAAGGAGAGGCGACGGCCATCTCCATATTAAGTCCGCTAGAAAATCTCACAGTGGAAAGTACGGATGCTTCATAGAAGACGCATATGGGAGGAGTAGCACCAAATACATCAACCTCCACATATCGGGTCAGTGGTCGTATTATAGCGGTGACCAATTGTAGATAGTTGGAATGGAGTGGTGGCGCAAACTTAAACACGCTTCTCTTCTGATCTTCATAATCTCCTTAACCTATTAGGCATGCTTCTACTTATCTTCCTAGATATCTCTTCTTTCCTCAACTATTTTAACCCAAACCTTTTACGTTTCCTTGCAAGAATGCGAGTGTTCTAACACATCATTTGCTGTACAGTGTCGTTATTATTACCAGGGATAAGACAGCATTTTGTGTTTCAGTAATTGGTTTTCAAAATTGTTTAGTTAGTGATTTTTTATGCTATTATGATTTAAAACGTAATTATAATAATTCGCCTTAAATTCTAAGAAGAATGAATTGAACTACGAATTGAATTTGGATAATATTTCAAAGAAAAAAAAGGGTAATACGGTGCACCAAAATCCAAATTTGGTATTGTATTATTTTTATTGTAATGCCTGTACGTAAATAATATATTTGTATATATGTATTGTTAGTGATTTATGTGTAACCTAATGTAACAAATTGTCGCGTGAAGTATTATTACAAACATCACTAAATTCCATTAGTATGTTTTTTATTTAGTTATATTATTCCAAATAAAATACTCTAATAACAATATTTTTGCTTTAAGCATTGATTAAAATGAAATTAGTGATGTCTGGAACTACAGTACTATGTAATAAAAAAATGTTAGTTATACAGCTTTATTTGTTTTAATACGTAGGTACAATACTTACCTACAGTCTGGGTTTTTATCTCAGATATAAATTTGATGTTACCTTTGTTGCCAGCTTTTTGCGATTCTTAAACAGTCGTGTAGCATTATCGGAAATAATTATTAATTACCGATTTTATAGGTTAACAAAATATTTTTTTTAACAATTAAAAAATGCAATTTTAACAAAAACGAATTAAATATAGTTAAGTTATATTTCATAAATTATACAAAACATTTAACTGTTTAAAAGAGAAAAAATAATAATATGGTTATGGTCATAAAAATAGTATAGAATAGAATAGGAAATCCTTTATTATTTTAAGCACATTTGAATATAACAATTTTTTTAATCTACTGCTCACTCGGAAAGGTTCTAAACACAAAAAGTGCCTACTATGTGTACGGAAACCACAAAATATATTTTTGTGTTGTTTTATACAAAGATAGTTATTGAAATACTAATAATATAATATACGTACTTAAATTTTATAGATATAAAAAGTATGTTATAGAAACTGAGTAGAAAGTTTTAATTCATCGTCTAAAATAAAAAAAATCCGATTCAATGAATCGGTATCACAGGTACAGCACTACCCCGCAATAGCTGGTAACACTATTTGTAATTTTGACATTTAAATAGTCTCCGAGATTTAAAAACAGACTGAAGTAGATTGTTTTATCTATAAGTCATTGCTTCTGCATGCAAAATAACTGACACTATTTATAAATGTTAAACCCTTAATTAATTAAATCAAAGTATTTGATTTCCTATCGCTGCTATAAAATATCTATGGAGTTGATTTATTAAATTACTGATGAAATAAGGGTATTTTTTATAACTAACTTTTTGTAAAGAAAATGTTTAAAATTATTAATTAATAATACCCAACACGATAATTATCTCGCTAAGTCGCTATTAAAAAATAGGGATTGGTAATAGAATGGTGATTATTTAGGGTTGTATGTAATTATAATGACAAGTTTTAAAAAAATATTCCTAGAAATAAAAAAAAATTGTTATGGGTAATAGCCGATTCTCAGAATATGTTTATAAAATTTAGTAAAAATCGGTCAAGCCATTTCAAAGGACTATGGTAACTGTAAAATTATGTTATCTGTGTTGGTAACTAACACTGTGACGATTTTATTTTATCGATTTTATATATGCGATTAATTATATTTTATTAAAAAAAAACAGACCAACACAAATTAATGCACATATATAAAAGGACAACAAAATCTTATACATCGTATATATAAAATCGTCCCATGGTTTTCTGCGATACTGAACACTAGAGAAAATCTTTGCGTTATTAGATAAGCTAAATTATAGTATTATTTTTATATTTTTAGCTTAATTAAGGGATTAACTAATATTTATATTATGTGTTCTTACCTAAATGTTTTTATCTGTATATATCTGTCGTTTAGTAATACAACAATAATGGATTTACATGGTGCCATTCAAGTTTTACGTTATTTCGTAAAACTTACGCCGGAATATTTAAGTAGTTGGTAGATTAGTATATTAACATAATCGTTATCATGTGACACCCGTGATACTACTCTACTGTTGCCATTCCGGAGTACTGAGATGATATACCTCCATATCCTGTAACTTCTCTGCTTTATAACCATCCCTCTTCAGACAAAGCTGCTTGGGCAAATAGTTCACTGGTAAAGTAATGGAGTAATTAGTTTTAGGGTACAATGGGACTGGCATGTACTGTATGTAGATTGTACAAAAGTCCCTAAATTTAAAAAGAATAAAAAAAATTCGGAATAAAAAAAACTCGGAAAATATTAATACTTTTTTACTTATAATGAAGATTATTTACAAAATACATGTACTTTCATATCTAAAGTTTCACGCATCATGTAAATTCACCTGTATTGTATTTTGTATATTATTAATATTTTGTTTCATAAGGTTAATGGTTTACTAATTAGTAAATATTACGATAGCAGATAAGTATTTTTTAATAGAATAGTGAGATAAAGTATAATTGTAAAGTCATTTTTAATATCATGTACCAGGTATACAGTCATATATATATATATTACTTCTAAACAGATCAATGTTACATAACGTATATTATATTGCCATATTGCAATATGATACGAGTTAAAGTTTTTATGTATTTTTATAACTATTACAGAGAGTGTTTTCTTTCATTAATTAATTATCAAATACTATATTCTAAATTTAAGAAAATGAATAAAAAAAAGTAATTATTTATATGTATTTGGTATTATTGAGGTAAAAAAAGGATTCAGCAGTAGTTAATAATAATGCTGAGATGTATTTACGGCTCATTTGTTTGGCCTGCTATTTGTATAAAGACGACTGTACCTATATATTACGCGTTCCAAACTTTTACTGTTACTTTCAAAGTAATTTCAATTTAATGTAGGCATTATGGACTTCACACATCTACAGAAATATACAATTAATTCATTTATTCTCTTCTACTAGCCGATTACATGTTCTCGATATTATTAATTATTTGTAATTTGTGAAGCCACATACAAGGTTATTCATTTGAGTACTACGCAGGTTTCTTTATAATATAGTTAATTCTAAAGCACGGTTATATAAGTGTATGTAAATTAAATATTTAAATATTGTATTAATTTCATTATTGAATAAACAAAGTGTACATATAATTTTCGAATTAAATTATTCTAAATACATAGAGTAAAAACTCACTTTAAGAATTTTCTTAAAACTTATACTTACTTACTGTAAAGGTACATGAGACTATTTTAAAAATATATAAGACTGACGAGTCCGTCATTTGTTCTAAATTTGACTAGACTTTGAAACTAATGTTACGAAAAGGTTTCGATGTACATTTCTTTATTGATAGTGTATTCTCTGATCTCGTATGTGTGTGATGGATCGTAAAGAAATAATATTGTTAAGACAACCTTTATATTAAGTAATACTAAATTGTATTTACATTAAATATATTAAATGTATAATTTATGTTACGGAATTCTTAATTGAGTTGTTTAATAACCAGCTTAATTAGTTGTATACATTCCTTCTAAACATCACCATTCTTGAATTGTACTGATATTATACATATGCTATGCAGGCAACCCTACGGAGTATAACCTGGTGAGCATTGAGCAGCCTAATAGAGCCTACACAGTCGGTGAGAATGTTCAAGTGATCTGCCGTAAGACCTCTCCTCACGTCATTACCAATTGGGAAAGATTGGGAACCAACCAATACGTTCCCGTGGAAGTAAGTACCTACTGTTTATATGTAATTGGTATGCTGATTGCCCAATTGATAGAAAGTGGAAACCGTTATCACGAATGTCACATCGTCACGTGGTGCCTTTCATGCGTTGTCCTTCCGGAAGACTAAAGTCCTTTTAAAAGCTTCCAAATGATGGTCCTTGCTCCTTTTGAAATAGTTAAGATAGAGGTATCCACGCAGACGTCTAAATACAAAGTATACAACTATGTAATATTATGTTATCTGTGATACTACGTCATGTCATGAAGTCTAAAATATAACTAATAATTAATGAAATAACCCTGATACAGCTAATGACATTGATACGCGTACAAATCTTCATAAATTGTAATTTAAAACATAAAACACTTCATTTCATGGTAATTCAGTTGTCACAGGTATATACTTCAAACTTGTAATGCACCTATGTGTGCATAGAGAATTAAATAGAAAATAGAAATATATTTACTTTTAATTAAAAGTCAAGATATTTTCTATTTCTAACCTCTTAAAAATTCGCCATGTACGAAGAAGTTAAAAACCTCGTAGGCATATTGGTTTAATCTGGCTCTCTAACCTCTATAACTATATAACTCTAAATCGCCGTATTTTGGCCGATTATCGTTAGTCAAAATCTCCTACAAACTGGTACGCTGATGAAAATACCAACGTACCAAAATACCAAAGTCCTAAATGCCTTTAAACTTTCTACATTTAGTCAAAGATCCCTAGTTTCTTGGTTCTTATATTTAAAAGATATGTTTATTTTATTACGTATGCCTCAAGGGAAATGGTTATACCTACGATACGGGAAATAAATGTAGGCGAACTAGAATATATAACATCTATGTGGATCTAAGTAATAACAATAACCCTGAACAATACACAGTACTACCTAACCCCAGCTAAGCAAAGCTTGTGTTGTGGGCACTAGACAACTGATTTAAATACTTAGATACATTTTTAAATATATACACAGGAAATAACCAGACAAGCATCATACTTATAAATACAAATGTTTGCGGAAGTAAAGCACTAAAACCACCAAGGCCGTAGTCATCATAAACGCCGCTTATACTATAAAAATGTTTTATCATTGTAGAAATATGATGGTGATAGCATGCTAGTGATAATTGGTGTGTCAACGACGGATGCTGGCATATACAGATGTACCGGTGAAGATCGCAACAGACAACGCAGTTTCGCAGACTTCAATCTCGAAGTGCGACCAGGTAACTAAGCCACTACTTTTTATTAGAGGCCTACATAAATTTTGTCACACGCCGTTCACGAATTTTAACCTTTCACCCTGTCTATGTCACTGTTAGTCACATTTTTGTGACTCCTTCCCCTAGTCTGAATTTTATTAATATTTTAAAACAGTAGGTAGGGCCACTTCTAGTTATACAATGTCACATTTTGTCGAATGGTTCCTTTAAATATAATACTACCAAGAACGATCCTTATTCACAAAAATTAACTTCCACTAACAAATATTATTTAAATTACGTACCTCTACATATATATCGTCATACCTGTCTCCCGTTAAGGTAGACAGTCAGTAAAACACGCCAAATGCTCCGATTCATACATACATCTTTTGCTTCTTGTATGAAAAGATTTCTAAATATAGAAATATTTAGAAATCTTTTCATACAAGTTCGCATTTTATTTATCCCTTTTGAAATACATCGTCTATTTGGTCGACTTCCATCCGCCTAGGGCGCCTGCTATCGGCATTTGCAAATATAAAGTACCTGTTACATATGTATTTACACTTTCTGGGAAATATAGAAAATAGCTCTTAAGAAATGCACTAACCAGTTCAGTAGCTTAGAGAGATATAGGTCTTTTAAATTCAGAGATACTTTTTGTCAGTTTCTAAATAAAAACAACCCAAATTAAAATATTTCTTTCATCTGTATAATATTTATAATTGGCGGGAGCTCCACCGACAATAGCACAGCTTTTAAATTATGAATAAATGAATCTATATAATATTAGAATTAGTTATTTATGTTATTTGCTGTTAATGTCTATGTGTGAAGAGTTATTAAAATATGTTATTTAACAATATCTATTAAAAACAATCATATTAAGATTACCTGGTGTGTTAGAGGCGATTAATTATGTATTTATTTTTTTAGATTCGAATACACCTCAGCGTAATGATAACAGTCCGTACGATAAGCATTTGTATGAGGATGTGGATATACCATGCATACATACCCTAGACCCGCCTGTGTCTATCCAATGGCGGAAGGAGTACTCCTCACTACCATCATATGTCGCAGATAAAGCGGTGAGAATATCTTAACTAAAAATTTAACGATGTTTAATTTTTTTTACAGACATTTATTTTACGTAATGTATGTATGTAGCTACGTTTCTTAGGTTGGAGTCTTAAAACTTCATTTTAAAATACTATCTTCAACCTTTTGAACTGAAATTTTGTATGGACATTTAGTTTGAATAAGGCATGTTTAGCTGTTTGACGTCATTGTAAATCCAACACGACGTACACCCAAGATGGCGGACGTCTTTTTTTATAAAGAAAACGCAATTATATTGTGTTTACTTTATAAAAAAAAACAATCCAATGTGATTCTCAAAAAGGACTATAGAAAAATATTAAAAACTTAGAGAGCCATAAGAAAAAATTTTTTTTTCGGACTACCCTACTGCTTTTGCCCGTAGTTGGCCTTAACATTTTCATTCCAAACTCCATCCCGCGAGCGGACTTATGGAGCGACTGAAGGCCGACTCCCGTCTGAAGCATACGACTTTAGTCTATGGGTCTAGGGTCCATTCGAAAACATGTCCAGAGATAAGAAATAATTGTCCAGGGTTATTTATTATTACATTTTATTTTTTTTATACAGCCCGTTCTGTCACTGCGCAATATCTCGGAAAATGACGCCGGTATTTACATATGCCGTGTTATGAACCGTTGGACAACGTATGAAGATCGATCAATTCTTCGCGTAAATGGACTAGTGCCACAATTCAACGGTCATGCCTGGATTCAGCTACCGACCCTGAAAGAAGCTTATAGCAAATTCGACATCGAGATTTCGTTCAGACCATATGGTATAGTAATTTTATCATTGCTCAGTCAAATTATATATTATTCTGTAACTAAAATTTTGCCTATGTCTATCCCGTGGAGATATGGTTCGCAAATGCTCCGGTACAATAAGCAGATAATTGGTATAGCTTATAAGTCGATATTCAATCTGGAATATATTTATGTAGTAATTCAAAGTTTAATTTATTCTGTTGCTCATATATATATATATATCTAGTTTTTTCGATTACAGATATAGTTTTTTATAAAAACACTATATAGGGTTGCCTCTTAATTAGTTACCACCTATGTTAGCATGTTCGATTATTCGCGCGATACAAACATTTGTACACAACATTATAATCGTTTGTATTGGTCCGGGTCTATATATCCGTTCTCTAGTAATCACAGAACAAGCTCTGCTTACTTTTGATTAGATGGCGCCATGTGCATTGTCAGGGGTTATTATATTATGTTCTTTGTAGATAACGACGGCCTGCTACTATACAATAGTAACCAACGTAATGGTAACGACGACTACTTGGCGCTGCAGCTCATCAAGGGTACACCACAGTTCTTGATGGAAACCGGCGTAGGCCCAGTAGTACTGGATGGCGATATATCATTAGAACTTAATCAATGGCACACCATCAGACTGAGCAGGAATGCAGACAAAGGTACCACAAAATTATATAGTACAGTGTTACTATAATATTCGTGAAGTCTGAAGTACCTTCAGCCACAGATTTTATATCTTTAATAAATGATATCTTTTTAATAAATGATAATGCAATGTGAAGTCGTCGGCACTAACAATATACCCTAGCGGGGTACAAGTAAAGCATGGTAGGATAAGCATTAGGTCAGATTAGTTAACCCATCATGGCAATTTCGTCAGGAATACATAATAATGATTTTCAGTTGGAACCGCGTGGAGGTCAACGTGACATGGTACATGAATGTTTTCGGACTACTCTAATGCTGTTGGCAGCAATTGGCCTAGCCTTTACAGCTTCACGGGACGATAGGAGACGAATGCAGATGGCACTCCAAACCCGCAGAAGCACTTATGGAGTGGCTGAAGGCCAACTCCCGCCTGACGGATACGAATTTAGTCTAAGGGCACCGCTAGGGGTTCGATCCTCAGCACACGTCGTCGTAATTTTGATCCCCTGTTGATTGGAGTCGATCGGGGGCGCTGGCTTGGAGTCTATTAGATTTTGTAATATTAGGTCACGAAATTTACAATCTCTCCCACCCCTTGTTACACAATGTCATACATTGTCACCCTTTATTGCTGCCCTCCAACATCAACATGTGACGTATAAATAATTAATTAGTTTAGATGATCAAACATTTATTTGTTTCAGTTACGATGTATGTGGACGACACTGGACCTTTCATTCGTAGAGAAGGCAAATGGGAGGTACTCGAGCTGTCTGAACCATTGTACATCGGCGGTATCCCATATGGAGTCTCTTTGCCTCCGACGCTAACGTCAAATGGGTGAGTCTATTTGTTACCTTAACTTTATAACACCACTCTTTGCTAATAAAAAGTAACAAATATAATTAGACAAGTAACAAAGTAATAGAAATACATCATTACATAGTATAAAATAAAGTCGCTGTCGCTGTCTATCCTATGTGTACTTAAATCTTTATTAAAGGATTATTTTAATAGATAGAGTGATTCTAGTGGAAGGTTTATACATATGATATAATACATATACACACCCGGGTGAAGCTGGAGCGAGGAGTAGCGAAATGGACTTCCGCAAAATTACTCTCAATTTTAAAAAAACATATTATTTCAGTTTCATCGGCTGTGTAAGCTTGCTAGTGTTGAACAAGAAATCGAAGAATTTGATATCTGATAAGGTTGCTTCGAACGGCATAAAGGACTGCGATACCTGTACTCCTAACCTTTGCATAAACAACGGTGTTTGTCAGGTAAATTGTGAACGTATTAATTTTTATGTAATTAAAATGGCACAAGAAGATGACGGTCCATATGATGTTAGCAACCATTTGAACTACAGTTTTTATGTGACACCTGCGAGACCATTTATGCAGAGAGGACTAAGACGTATTGCCTCTTATCCTGCAATTTCACTGTATAATCACAACACATCCAAAATACTGATTACAAAGCGAGCTCCTTGGCGGCTAAAATAGTGAAAACGCAGACGACTTTTTACAGTCTACCTCAATTAATAAAACTGGCGAATTTCATATTGAATGGTCCAGGTGTGAATCCTTCATAATAACGAAAGACTTCGTAATTATTAGGTTAATGTAATTAGATTTTTGTTTATTTATTAGAAAATATGTTAATACAGGAAGCGACTAACGAGCGTGGATACGTATGCTTATGCACGCCCGGTTACGCCGGTTTGAACTGCAACAGGACCGGTGAGGCGTGCCGGCCCGGCATCTGTGGACCAGGGAAATGTTCTGACACAGCAGACGGATACACATGCGCCTGTCCTGTTACTTACACCGGCAGAAAGTAAGCTATAGAAAGTCCATCTTTATCATTTCAGCCCGGAAGAAGTTCACTTGCAGAACCAAGGTCTCCTCCAAAGATTTCCACAACGATTGGTCTTTCGCTGGTCGCATCCAAGGCCTTCCAGCGATCTTGACCAGATCGTCGGTCCATAGAAAGTTATATGATCCAAATAATAAAAGAGCTGTATACATCCACATATTAAATATTATTTAAAAGGAACAATAGGTTAATGGACTCGACGTATAGTATTTTTTTTTTAATTTAGTCTCTTTACACACACCTGGCGTCTAGTCATGCTAATAAAACAAACGACACAAACGTTAATCAATTTAAATGTGGGCCCACCAGTCACAAATAAAAAACAAATGTAGGAGGCTAATCTAACAATCTGTTTCTGTTGTCCACAGTTGCGACGTTAAACAATTCATCGAATACCCCGCGTTCACGGGCAGTGCATACCTGGCCATCAAAGCACCCACTACTTCAAAGTTCTTCAAGATGTCCATGAAGGTCAAGGCGGCCGCCCCAGTTACTGACGGCATTATTATGTACTGCGCTGAGTCACCACGTGGATATGGAGGGTTCACTTCCCTGGCTGTGCATAACGGAAAACTTGAATTGAGATACGATCTGGGTGATGGTAAGTTTTTTTAAGTGAAGTGTTTAGTAAGTGGAAACTGTCGCCTATAATACGAACAGAGCTGAAATCAAGTTATCATGTGCCGTCCATGAAACCGTTGACGCGTTGCCATTCCAAAGAACTAACATGTCATACCTCCAGTAACTGTACACTGCCATATCCCACCTTTCAACCAAAATACAACTTACAAAACAACCTGGTTAGCGACTGAAAAAGGTGTAATAAAGGCGTCCGTACACACAACGTTTTACAAAACCTATTTCAATAAAAAATGGTGCCTTTTATGTACAATATATTTTTATAAGATTGAAGATAATTCTTACTAGTGAGGGATTTACATATATCCTTAGGATATAGTGTATACTTTCCAAAGGAGATATTTCTTTTTTTTCATGAGAGAACTACAACCACATAGAACATATAGTGGCGAGTGTATAACATAACAAAGTTGCTATCTATTCGACTTGAATGTTCGCTATATTAATTATAAACAATATTGTATTATATCTGAATGGTATTGTAAATTCACACTCGTCAATCTGTCATCTCCTTTAGACAAGGCCTTAAGATCTTTCCATTAGGGAATCAAATTTCCACTGAATAAATACTGTTTTGTTTATTTACCAATTCTGTCTGTTTAATTCATCAATTAACAGAACATTCCAAATATAATACATATAATATAAGTATGCTATATACTATAATATATACAGTACACAACGATAAATGTATATCAAGAGCATTTATTTGAAAAAAAGTCTAACTATTCCTGCTACTACTTCCATTGAAAATCAGTTTGGCCACATACATAATGGAAATACACAAAGCTGAATGGCATATGATAAGATGAGTATTGGTAGCATTAGTCCTTCTTAATTCAGTACAACACTCTATATATATATAAAATTAGCTGTCATTTCTCCGAAACTTCGGCTCCACCGATTATGATGCTTTTTTTATACACGAATAGGTCTTAAAATTAGTTGTTATCTATTTATTATACCCTTAAGTGATAAGTGTCACCCCAATTTGTAAATATGTATCAAGATTTACAAATTTATTAATTTTTTTATTACAGTTTTATTTTTTTTGTAATGTGGCATTGAAAGTACACTTTTAATTTTTCACCCACAACTATTTTTTAATAGAGATATTAATTAATATGACATAACATCGTTTGCCGATTTAGCCAGTTTTGTATAATATTTTTACTTTATAATACACTTAGTTTTTTTCTTATTATAATGGTATGGTGCATCCACCTGCGCTAACGGTTTACGCTGGCGGGGCATCAGTGAAGGATGATAAGATGTGCATGTGGTCAGATTTTAGCCCATCGTAGTAAATTCACCATGAATTTACCAGTGGTTTCCAAGGGGAACCACGTGGAGATCAACATTACATGGTACATTGCTAGCAATGGGGTTATCAGTCCACATGACTCACAATCCCCTTTCCACGTAGTTACAAATATACGTTAAGTTGTATGCGTCAAATAAATAAGAACTTTTTAGTGGACACCCGAAGTTTTTACATGGGCAAGTTTGGCTTTCCATATAAATTCAGCTAAAACATAACTTGTCATGCTCCTATATCTGTATAAATCCCAGAAATATTATCTGAACATTTTTAATATAAATGTTAAGACTTTGAATTATTAAAAAAAAACTAATACACTGTATATGAAGTTACATTGTAGAATGTTAACATAAAATGTCAACAGAAACTATCTTGAGGTCCATAAGTCGTAATAGTAAAACCACATGCCACAACACTCATAAATGTTACGATACTGCAAACTTGTACTTGAACTAGTTTGATGGCCTCAGTGGACTAACAGTTTAGCACATCACTATACCTTCAACGGTCGTGGGATCTATTTCTCGCTCGATGCAATTATTTATAACATCGTTCGTAAAGTTCTGGATGTTTTGTATATATATTAGATATGTATAAAGAAAACAAGTACTATTTCTATCAGTCATTTAGTACTAATAATATATGCTTAGGACTATGATGTCGCTAATGAATGACGTTTGAAATGAAAAAATCTTTATTTTTCTCCTCACAGAAAACAAACATTTACGTAGGTACTCTATTATATATAAGTATATGTGAATTGGGTTATTATTATTTGTTATTAATATCGTAGTTTGTACAAACTTATCTTTGTTTTGCCATACAGGAAGCGTACCAGTTATTATAACGGCTGACAGGGAGCTACCTGCTAATAAATGGACAGATGTGAACATAGCACGTGTTGGGCCTGATGTCTCCCTAAAAGTTGACCTTATAAAGAGCTACGAAGGCCGGCTGGATTCCCCGAAAAAGGTAACGAGGCAGATATTACTCCTATTACCTATTATTCCTACTAAGAGCCATTAAAGGGAAGCGTTTTTCCAGCGATGACAAGTAAAATCAGAGATATTTTTAGGCAAGGAGAAAGCCCGTGTTGCCAACAACAATACATCAAAAAGTCTAAAGATCCAATATTTCTGGCGTCAAGACGTTTGCTTATAAGCCGTGTAGGTAGCAAGGTAGAATAGGCTATGGTATTTGAAAGAAAAATAATTAGGTATCATTTTCCCTGTGATCTCTCCTTCCTTAAAATGAATATAAAATTTGTCTCTCATAAAGGTCTATGCAGACGAGAGCAAATTTTCAGACTACAGTTTTATTGTATATTAGCAATATGCCTCTGCTTTGCACGGGTGCTATAGTATGAATCTCTAATTTATTTAGAAAACAGAATTCATGTTATACGTATATAAGATTAAGATAACGAATAATTATATGATGATTAAAAAATGTAATAAAGGTCATACATATAAATAAACAGACAGGTCACTATAATAGTACCTACAACATGAACTGTTAATTTTTACTTCAATTTACCTGACAAAGCTATTATATATATATTTTTCTGTTGGTAACAGTTGTTCCAACTTAATCCGCAAGTCTTGAGACTTGAGACGACGAAAGGTGTCGTCGTAAGGCACGTCTTACCTACAATTGTTGCGAAAGACCACTTATTTATATATTTAATTGTATTCGAATATACTTACCTGGATTTATATACTCAGGATCTCACACTGGAGACCGCAATGTACGTCGGTGGTGTTGACGACTCAATCACTCTGAACAACAATACTGGTGTCACCGGAGGCTTCAATGGCTGCATCAAGGAGGTATGGTTATCATTCACCATTGAATTACCTATCTCTCAGATTCACTGCTCAGGAACATATAGACTGATGAATTAATAATCAACTGATACCTTCTTATTAGAACCAATTGATATAGTTATTCAGACCAAGTTACACAACATTTTATCGTTTTATTTTTTCTAGCAATTGATACCTGCTGTTTTGTATTCGCAATCGTTGATGAATAGATACCTATACCCTATAACCTTCTCATATTCATACAAATAAAAACTAATTGCGTCTGGTCTTGTTAAATCAAATTTATTATTGAGCTCGAAGTTTTTTATGTACAATATACCTATCAGTACTGTAGGTAATCTGTACCTTGATGCAGCATACAAGCTGCCCTACGCTTCTTCTATTTGTACCTATATATTTCTTTGTAAACTGTATTTCTCTACGTGCCTGTAATTGGTGAAGAAAAAAATGTATCTGTCTAACTAAATACGAAAAAGGGAGTGTATTTTCAGTTATTGTCATTTTTTCTCTCAAGGTTCAAGTATATGGTAATGCTGTGGATATCGTTAACTCATCGATCCAATCTGCGAATGTGAAGGAATGTAGCATGTACGAACGTGGCGATATACCTGAGGTAATTTCTCCTTATATTTGATAATCAACCCACCTTCACCTGGATTGATAATATGTATTTAATATATTATTAACTAGCTCACCTAATTAATTACTTCACATTTATTATTATATTTCGCTCAATACATAATATTGTTTTGAATTATAGCTAATGTGTTTATGTGATATATAAGCTACAAAGTGTCATAAAAATATCTACAGTAGTTTTTGCGTGAAAGATTAACAAACATCCATGCTCACAAACTTTCATGTTTATAATATTATTAAGATTAAGATAAAGACGTGTGTCGGTGTGAGCCCTATGGATCTGGTACTAATTATTTATTTATTTGCAGGACGAAAGTGTTTGCCCCGATTGCCAGAATGGTGGATCGTGTGTACCCAATTGGGGCGTGTGCCAGTGCCTACCTGGCTTTTCGGGCACCTATTGCGAAATCGACAATCGACGAACAACGCGGTCGGCGTGCGCAATTCTCCCATGCAAGAACGGCGGCACATGCAGACCTGACCCTTCCACCATGATGAATTACACCTGTGACTGCCCTCTCGGATACTCAGGCACCAATTGCCAGATGAGTGAGTACTAATATTTAACTACCTCATCTATCAGTTTAGTACACTTTATTATATCACTAACTGTGCCCGCGGTTTCAACCACGTTAAATTTTAATAAAAATTATAGCCTATTTGTTATTCTAAAAGTAAAGTTTCATTAAAATCCGTTCTGTATCTTTGCGTGAAAGAGTAACAAACATCCATACTTACAAACTTTCGCATTTAAAATATTATTTAGATAGTTGATGGGTTTATTCCCGCCCTATACACATATTTGTAATGTATCTGTGAATTTCTTTTGTACTTTTTTTGTGATAATAATAGTACATTAACGGTACGATGATATGCTAGCGGGACACCAAGAGCATGTTGTCAGATCAGTTAGTCCATCGTGTCGAAGTTACCAGGAGTCAATCACAATTTGCTCCTGCGGACCGTGCGGAGGCAAAACTGCTATTAGTACAAAACAAGTGACAATCTCCTCCCCCTCTATCCTTTATATTGGTTCTAATCCTTCTAATTCTTCACTATTACTATATTGGAAACATAGTATTGATTGTATACGGAAAATTTCAAAGTTTGAAAACTTTCGAAAATCCATTTAAAACTTTTAGCTATGGATTTTGGAGTTAATGCATTGTACAACTGCGATATGTGCATTATTCAGAAAGGAGATTTTAATATCACTATTAGTTGTCTATTACCCTGCTAGATAGCGCTGTATCTGAACATTTTTAATACTGTTTGAACATTTATTTCGCCCATTTCTACATCTACCTAATCTAAGAAATATTGTAATGAAAGTTCAGGGTAACACGAACTTGGAAATGGCAACGCAAAATATATCACGGGCGTCGCAATGTGGTTCGTGCTATTTAAGTATATACTCGAAATACTAAACTTGAAAAGTATATACTTGTAAATAGCAACCAGTTAACCCCTTGATAAAAAGTAGCCATTGTCTTATTAGGGAATAAAGTTAAGAATATCCACTTTCAAAATTAAATTCGTACATGTATTTCGTGGAAGTCAAACAAATAATCATTATTGTATACTTTTCATATGTATATATTTTCATTAATATCTCCCTAGCACCCACCCGCCTTGGAGAAAATATTTCTAAGGTCAAATAGCATCAAATGGGCAATCAGCTTATTTTCCGTTCTTAATAACGTAATAAAAATCATATACTCATAACATAAACTCCTTATCGCAATTATATGTTTTGTTTATTAAATCTTTCTCAGAGATAGTTACTATGCCATATTACACACTTATTACCTTGTAATTCCAATTTTCGTACTAACAATGTAATAATGTTGGAATTGAATGATTTCTGTGATTTTCTTTCTCAACATGTATCTCTATACACTTTAGACATCAAGTACAATCTAATGAGCGCCTTTATATGTTTTTTTATATAATTTGGTAACGTAATTGCTTAAAGCCGAAATCAATATTCAAATTGCTTTTTACCGAGAATTGATACTGTTTGATATGATGTCTACTAAGGTATATTCTACAAAATATTTTTTTTGTTATGCATATGTATCTTAATCAATATAAATAAAAAAATATATATGTTTATACGATATTGTATTCTTATTTTATTTAATTATATTACTTTATTTGAAGGAATCAAAAGTAAAAAACATAAAAACGGATTAGCCGAATAAGTGCACCAGAACTCTTCATTCGACAATTGATTTAAATTTAGCTTTAATGTTTATTTTATAAATTTATTATAATTTTACAATAATAACCCACACACTATAAATTCTAAACAACAGAAAAACACCTTATTTATATGTATACATATTATAGAAAGAAAACTCCAAGATCAATACAAAGAATCATATTATTCATAGCAAAAGTTTGTATAGTGCATGACGTCGAATTCGCGACCATCATAAAGCGGTGTGCCAAACCGTTTCACTACCCATGTTTTAATTTGTATTTTGTATTATAAATTTCAGCTACTCCTAGTATTTTTCCATGTCTGTTTAAAGTTCTAATATAATAATACCATGTCTGTAGTAACAATAAATAATATCAAAATACCTAGACATGAGTACCATGTAACTCCATGAGATTGGAGAAACATAATTATATTGCGTTATTTTATTGATGTCTGTGAACGATACTTATGTATATATCAGAAATAGTAGAATAATCTTTGATGGCGACCGACTGTCGCGAGCTCTTTTTTATTACTGTATATAGGTATTTTACTTATGTATGAAACTTAGATCTTATTTTGTGATTTTTTTTCTTATTTACCATAATCGTCGAATCTAAACCTTTGTAAATTATGTCTTTTCATCAAAAGTATATATAGTATATAGTTTAATAGTTTAATAATTTAGCTTTCACTGGTATATATTTTCACTAATCTATTACAGTTTTTATTATTAGGTAGGTTAGGTAGTAAATCTTGTACCCTCAATTTCGTCTGCAATCTCAAATCAAAAATCAAATCTGTAATCATAGCGTATAAAAAAATATAGGTTATATTTGTTCATTCTTGAGCTACAATATTGACGTTAAATTACATACTTTCACATTTTCAATATTATTATGAATATTTAAGTACTTATTGTTTCTTATTCACATAATATTTTCAGTTTTGGACCTCCTTCAAAGCGTAGGCTTCAATGGCAATGGATATTTGGAACTGCCGTCACGACTTCTGCGTTATGACGTTGCGGAAATGGCTATCATCGCTCTGGCTATGCATACTATCAATGACGGCGTGCTACTATATCAGAAACAAGGCGCTTATCCTGATGACTTCACCAGCGATTATATATTATTACGAGGTATTTTTTTGAACATTATTGGTACTAATTATTATAAACCGTAACTGCTTGAAGGGGTTTTAAAACAAACGCCATTTTTGAAGTTTGCTTTATCCAATTCACGTTAGTTACAAATGGACGTCATTTAATTTATGCATAGAAGAAGAATGAAGAGTAACGAATGAAGGGGTTATCTTTATTCGAATTAAAAATCTTACAGTGATTTTTATGAGATCGTTCATAACTTTATATAATATTATTCTTGTTCGCAGTGGAGAAAGGCTTTGTGGTGGTAGAGTGGAATTTAGGTGGTGGAGTTTCTTCGTTATCGAGCAAAGTTTTCGTTGCAAACGGCGAACGACATACTGTGAGTATATCATCGGTAACACGCGTAACACTTGCTGTATTTATGATAAACAATGGGTAGAATCTCTGATGTGGTAGTCAGAGCAATTGTCAATTATCGACCTCGTGGTGAAAGTACCACGTAGCATGCCCACCCACATCTCCCTCTATAATGAAGCAGTATAGCACATCGGTATAGCTTATATATTAACCAAGCTATTCATATGCTTCATTTTTCCTATGATATGTATACGCTTACAAATTACGTAATTGAAATTATTATAAAGAAATACTCTTTGATAAAATAACATTACCTACCTTTTCTTCATGTCAGGTTCGGGCACTCTTAAGAAGTATCACAGATCATCTTATATTTTTCTTAATTTCTGCAAGAGTCTGTCTATAATTTTACGTTTGTTCGCCCGCCAGACTTGAACCCGCTTTGGGGTTGCATTTGCTTATGATTAATCACCTGCAGGAAAGCGTAGCAATGACGAAAAAAGTGGGCCATAGGAACTTAGGAACTTAGCAAATAGGATGTTGAATGTACTGTAAATAGTCTAGATTGTTCTAAATTGGAATTACCTTACAGGCTAACTCAGATAGGTCACTATAATAGAATGCACATTGACATGTTTTTACTCTAGGTCCCAACAGGTTACCGTAAATCACGAGTGACGGGTATTACCTGTAGGACTGTAGTTAACGGATAGACCACTATAATGGACACCTGGGATAGATCGATAGATAAGACTAGAGTCTTATTAGGCTGAACAGGATATCTCCAATATTATTTTATTTTGCAGGTGATTGTGAAATTCCTCCCTGACGGTATCATTTCCATTGATGTGGACTATTCATCCAAAAATGCTACAAGTGTAGGCCTTCAGAAAATGATGAATGCGGATTCCAACATCTACATTGGTACGTAGAGATGATCTGAAGCTTTTTAATTATGTATAACGCATTTTCTATCGGTTTCGCACATTCCTTTAACGGCCTTGGATGTTTAAGGGTTCATATTTTGTACTCTAATACATTTTTTTTGTATTACTCTATATGTGTCCTTATGGTTACAATTAAAAGACATAACTAAATATATATTTGTATTGAAACTTATTATTAACATTATAATAAGATATGAACACTCCGTATAAAGTTTATATTTAATTTCAGGTGGCATCCCAGAGAGCCTGAACTGGAAACACCTCCCCGGACTGACGGGTTGTATTGAGCAAGTGGAACTGATGAACACTGGCCGTGGCCTCAACTTGGGCAGGGAAGCTGTAGCAGCCAGGAACACGCAGCCATGCAGGGAGTGAGTTGCATTTTATTTATAACATACTTAAATCAACTACATTGACGGCCTCTGTGGTCTAGCGATTTAACAACCCATTTTACATCAAACATTCGAATTCATGAGTATGAGTGATGATAATGTATTTACATAAAAATATATCTAAGTATTTATATCAGTTGTCTAGTATCCATAACACATAACAGTAGCTCTGCTTACCGTGGGAGTAAATGGCGCTTTGTTAATTGTCCAAAGATATTATTATATATGTATTTATTACTTGGTGGGTTTCATACTTTTGTGATTAATTCTAATGTCTCGGGACATATTGTTAAGTGTTTCATAAATCACTGAATGTTGGCTTGTTTACAATTACGTAATATTAACATACTAACCTTCTCAACATTACAACACCAACCAATATCTAACGTCAATCCTATTACTCATAGTCAAACAGACGCTGTCGCAGGCAATAGCTAGTTATTTTATATTATAGAACTGACTAACAATTCTGTGTTTCTGACTAAGCCCTTACTAACTTGCACGCTGCACGGATTAGCTCCATGTTCCCCGACGTCTACCCATACTTTGAAGAGACGGAGATATACGAAACTCACCCACGATTCCGCTCCAAAGCTACAACCCGTACCGGCAAAAACGGCTTTTGCTTTGTCATTGTACCGAACCTCGTAGCTTTATTTAATCTATGGTTCGGTAACATCATACAAATCGAGTGGTAAACGGGGTCTATCAGGTTTGTTCCACGCATTATCAGTATATCACCTGCTTATTTGTAAGTATGTAAAAAAAGTATATTACAGAATACATATTAAGAATAAATTATTAAAAAGTATCATGGCCCAAAGTTTTAGTACAGACTTTAGTACTTTTGATCCTGATGTGAAATTTCTGTGACACCCAAAAATTTATTTTGTGAATTGTCACAAAATATTATTTTGGTTATCATAGAAATTTCAGAAATATATATTGATATATTTCTATGATGATTCCGGAGATAAAAACATCAATAAAAATCCAAAATAATCCGAGAGACGGCAGCAGGCCGACTTCTGCTTAGATCAGTTTAAATGTAGGTACCTAGCAAAATGTGGGCATGTCAAGTGTTGCCTTTATCATGACGCAGACAGTTGACAATGCATTTAACTCGGATTTATTTTAATATATAAAATCTTTTTTTTTTCAGTCCCGAACCAGGCTATTAAGGAAAAGGAGGGTTCTACATGGTTCTATCTATTAGTTGTAAGGTCAATTCTTGAAACAGGAAATCACTTTATCAATGTATGTCTTTTAAAGTTCCGATTTTAATGTCATTTCAATATATAGGTAATAGTAATAGTAATAATGATAATTAATGGAAATAATCCGATTTTTGGTCTCGATGTTGTTCGTTAAATATAATATCAACGATTTAATAATAAATACAGTGTTACAATTTCTCTGCATTAGAAACTTTTAACTGACTATTGTACTTTTAGTATTAAGATTCCAACATTCTGGACAATACAGCTAGCTAGTACTTAGATAACGGAGATGTCATCGATGATACATCATCATGGCGACGTTTAGGTAAGAAGGAATTATTGTATACTCCCGCGAGGTGGTCTCCGTGGAGCAAAGAAGTTGGTGCCATAATGTTCGAATAATTAAGTAAATGTAGTTAGGTGACTATTTTCTAATTAACCTTTATACAATTTCCGGTGATTACAATAAGTTTGCATATTAGTCTTTATACATATTTCCTTTGCTGTTATTATTATATTGAAATAAAATCAGCTTCTGAATCGATTAGAAATCAAACATGTGCCAAAAGTGATAGCGGCAGACAATCTTGTTTATATCACTGCCATTATAATTTTCTTTTATAATACTTAAGTGTTAGAATAATTTTGCTTTATAATAAATCAACGAATATATTACTTAATGCAGTTATAAAAGAATAATCTACATAATTGTTCTTACGATGACAATTGCGTTTGCATTTATCTTAATTATTTATAATACCGTAAATTGGTTGTTCTACGTCATTTATCTTAGTGTAATGACATTATATTATATACATTTAATGTGTACGTTACTTAGCCTAGCTAATAATTACCTACTTACTTACTGTTGAAATAAACATAATTATGGATGTCTTTGAAATTACTGAAATAAATTACGTATCAATACTATTTGTGACTATTTGAATTCATGTATTGCCGTTATATGACGAAATAAAACTAACACTATGAATACGTACCTAATGTTGTTTTATTTATACTTCCTGTAAGACAAATTCATTTCTAATTTCCCGTATTCCTAACACAAGTATGACTGTAATACAAGGTTTTTTATAGAGTCTAATAGCATCAGTCAGGGCAACGGCCTGTATATACAGTATATACTCGCTGGACACCAGTACTGCACGATTCATACGTGCAGTACTGGTGTCCAGCGAGTATATTGACTTAGGTCAGCTAGCTCATACTGGCACATTCAGCAGGAATTAACTATGTTGATTTCAGTACATCCGACTATCTATCCTTCCCATACAAGTCAATAAAAGAAATAAAGCATAGTACTTTTAATAATTACGTTGAATTTAATACTTAACGTTGCTCTATTAAGTAGCAACGTATTAGTTCTATAAATAGCGATCACTGAATGAACTACCTCATATTGCAATTAATAAGGTTTCATATTGAATTGCCTTTCAAAAGACGTTATGAAATTGGATTCGATTGCAATCGATTTGAGATTAGACTCAGTGCACCTGCAGATCTTACATTCAGAATTGAATTTATTAAATAGAGGAACATTTAATATGAAGAATTGGATACCGACCTAATCATAAAACCTATCATAGATAAGAAAAAATATACAATAAAATATGTCAACAGTTAAACACAATTTTGCTCATGTATTTGGACTCACAAATTAGCTAAAAACCTACCTGATGGCATGTGGTTTCTATAACACTTAAATATGATCGAATAAATGAGTGGTGATATCCAAAGTGTATGTCTTGAATGCATGAAAAACTCCTTATTGTTCCTCACCTTCCTTTCCTTTCACAGAAAGAAAATAACAATTACATAAAATTATTATGTATACCAAATATAAAAAAACAACAATTACAACATAAGGAACATAGGGAACAATGCTTATCCGCTAAAACTTATGACTAAATAGCGATTTTCGTCTTACATTACCACTTCTATGTTAGTAGGTACTTAGTGGTTACATGATTACACCTCCGTAGTCTGATATCGCACTGGCATATCGTTCAGACAACATTACAAGTAGTATAGTAAGCAAAAAGCAACAGAAATGATTTAGCCCACAAATTTCTATTTCGCAATTTATTTATTTATTGTATTATTTATTGCTTCTTACATTGGTACATTATAGATGTTAATAATAAAAAAAAGGGGCACCCGGGCTACCGAACTCTGTAGGGGCACCGCAATTATAATATTATAACTATATACAATTACATTATCTACAATAAGATTATATAGTTAAAGATCACAATTAAATATTAGACATTTACACAATAGCAGTATATTTATGAATTATTATTTAAATAACATATCAAACAATATATTCAATCAAAAAATTAAATCATTCAGAGTCACATATAATCAATTAAAATTATCTCCTATATTTTACACAATCATGAAATGGTCATCTGTTAAGAACTTTGCAATAGAGTAATAAAATTTTTTTATCAAAATTCATTTTAATTTACTCTTTAAATTTCGCTATTATCATTCTTTTTAATTCGGCAGGTAGTTTATTATATTTATTTTTAGACATATATATGAAACATTTTGGCATAAATGTTGGTCTAGCTCGATATCTGAATTTGAATTGTCAGAACCTTCCTCACTAAAATTGTTAATGTTTCACGTAAATATGACTGGAAGAATTAGCATGAAATATCCACAGAAAATGTTGTTAACTGGTTAACGAAAGTTGAGAAAAGCATCTGCCATTTATTAATAGTTTCGATATCCACTTACATATACCGTAGTATTTAGTTTAGTAATAAAGTAATAGATGGCGTGGCATATAAACTCCTTAAACCTGGCAAAACTGCAGATAATACTGCACTTTATTAATATAGTTAAATGACCACAAGATTGCGCTAGTGGAAACGTCTAGAGAAAAATACCTTTATTTACCATAAAATTATTTCTGTTAAAGCCAGCTTAACTATATTAATAATGGGTACTAAACGCAAAAATTTAAAATAAGAAATATTATTTTTCGGACTACTCTTAATGCTGTTAGCCGGAGCTCGCCTTTACAACTTCACTGTATGATAGGGGACGAGTGCACATGACACTCCAAACCCGCGAAAGGACTTAATGGAGCGGATGAAGGCCAACTCCCGCTTGACGAATACGACTTTAGTCTTAGTGTACCGCTAGAGATTCGAACCTTGGGTCACACCTTCGTAATTTTGATTCCCGTTTGAATTGGACGGGGACCTATCGGAGGGGAATAAGAAATACTGCAAATGCTCTAATAATATTGTACGTACTCATTGAACACTATAACAACTTGCTGTCAATTAAGACACATGATCGTTTGCCCCTTGCGTTATATAAAAACAAGAACAAACAAAATGTATTTGAACGATACATGAGCTTTTAGTATAATAATAAAGAACCCATACTGGCATCGACGAATGGGCATTACGATGACGCCGATGGTTCAACTCTTACCGAGGTCAACTTTGTACTTTGAGAAAGTCAAAGTCGAAGCACATAGATACCTATTTCAGTATCATCTATTAGCCAACGTGCAGCTTGCTTTATAATATGTACCTATATAAGTTATAGAGCTTTCGCTTCCGACAGGTCGAGATCGAATGGACGATGTAACTTTGAACTGACGTACAATTCACTTACGGCGAAATTTTAAATATCGTTTATTTGCTTTATTATCTAGTGAAAATATTAAAAATAAAAAAAATATTCCAACTTACAATAAACGTATTAATTTTGGCTATTATGTATTCTAAAAACAAATGTGTTTAAAAGTGAAACCACATCAAACTGCGCTGTACCAAGGTTATGTCAACTATTTTTTTTTTGTAGTGATGTGACCAAATAACATTGAAAGAGCAGTTTGATGTGATTTGACTTTTAAAAACTATGTACGTACGTCAGTTCAAAGTTACATCGCCCATTCGATACCGACCTGCCAGAAACGCAAACTCTGAGCGGCCGGACGTTAAAATGTGAGATGTGAGAATAACACCAAATTTATTATAAAAGCGTGGCATCCTAGTTCAGAATGGCAATACAGCAGTGTTACCACGTGTATCATATGATATAACACTTAGCATTAATTTTGTCTTTGTAATTATAAAAAAATAATTATTAAGAGATGATAATAGCGATTAGGGGCCAAACACCTGTCGCAATATCAGTATAGCCTTCAGAACAGTCTAACGTGATATGTCTTGACATAAGTAAGGATTACATGTGGAACGTAATATATATATATTTATCAAGTTATGTAAATCTATTAGGGTCCACGAAAGAATAATAAATACTTTAATATTGCCTATTTAATGTTATTTTGCATACATTATAACGCTATACCACAATAATGAAGGTAAAATAAAAGAAAACAGTAAACGGTAACATAAATAAAATTAACAAGTGTGAGCTCGCCGCAAACCGCAAATGTCACACAATGTGTGTATGTTACTGATCGCGGTGTTACAAATAGTGCACATAATATATAATATTTGCGGCAGTACAAATGACAAAGCTCAGTATCAATTTTGTCCAGGGAGCAAACATTAATTTTCAGCTACAGCCCGGAGTTGCTAAAATGAGAATAAGGAACATAGTTAAATGAAATTGTGTATTCGGTTATGTATAATTACGTAGATTATTACAATGAAACAAATTGTATTATAGGAATATACAAATCAATAAAAAAAATATACAAAACAATGTAAATAATGTATAATTAATATAAAAATAATACTGTAATTTCACGAACATGTGAGTTTTACATGAATTGTAACTCGCTTTAAAGTCAACAGTTCATGCAAAAGCAACTTTTAATTAAATCCATATTGCCAGGACCGAACGTATTGAAAAATTCTGTTAATACAACTGACGTGAATATAAAAATCAAATGTCAACTTATCGTACTGGCCGTACCCTTGGGTAATGTCTAAGTCGCACCCAGAGTATAGAATTGATTCGTTAATGGCGACTTCTAACTACCTGTCTATTCATCCAACGTTTGCCGATTTGATGATCGAAATTTGCTCATATTATTCTCAATTATTGCTTTATTCAGAGTCAAGGTATAAGATTCGATATAATTTTTGCCGGTTTTTTATTACATATTTAAGATCTTTATGTAGGTACAAATACAAGTACCGGCGAATGCAATTATTTTACCGTAGAACCTTACAATGTTTAACTTTAAGAATGTATGTAAGCCCCCTCAGGGCTAGGGGTTTGACCTATTTTCTTCGAAGACTTGGGTCCTAGATGTAGTCGAGAGCCGTAAGTGTTTTTATTAGAAACATGACCTTATACCTGTTTTACACGTGTCGTTCTAGATTCTGTGCTACGGAGAAAATTATATTTAATGAACGAATATAAACCTCGCTGTCCCTATTTTTTTAAATGCGGGATTATGAAATAGTGAACCCACCTATACAAGACGATGCGACGCGATGGGCAGGAAGTCATGTCAGTTAGACAATACTGACAATTTCACCATGGAACTACCATGATGGTTTCCGGTTCCAATTATAGGTCGATATGACAGTTTACAATTCTAGCAATTGAGAGCCTCGGTAGTTTGACGGTTCAGTACTCACCTATACCG